TCGACTTTTCCCAACCATGCAAAAGATAATCTCATCAGAGAAATTTTTTCTCATCACTTTTTCTTGTGCCAAACCTTAAACGAGTTATGGCTTACTCACATTTGTCTCCAAGGAGAGACTTTGCATTTTATTACTGTACTATTTCTGGGGCTTGTGGGTGTGAAATTTTCAATCAATCATTAACTAGTAAATCTGCATTATTATTGGGGCGACGGTGGCACAGGAGTTAAGTGCTCGCCTCGCAATCGGAAGGTCGCAGGTTCGAGACCCGTTCAGTCTGTCGCTGTCGTTGTGTCCTTGGGCAAGACACTTAACCCACATTGCCTGCTGGTGGTGGTCAGAGGGACCGGTGGCGCCTGTGCTCGGCAGCCTCACCTCTGTCAGTGCGCCCCAGGGCAGCTGTGGCTACATCGTAGCTCATCCCCACCAGTGTGTGAATGGGTGAATGACTGATTGTGTTGTAAAGCGCCTTGGGGGGTTCCAGGACTCTAGAAGGCGCTATATCAAATACAGGCCATTTACTACACATAGTATTTCAGCTGCCGTAGAAAACACTTGGTTTAAATTGTGTGTAACATTTTGTTGTTTAGGTTTCATTAAATCAATCTTTGTTGTCGTTTGTGCATTTTCTACATAGATGTTAATTTTAAACCTTTGCACAAATAACCTCAAATGTTTATGCAGCATTCCTTTTTAAGCAGCTAGTTATTTATCCCCTATGCAAAGTAAAGTATGACGTTTAGTTGTAGATAAACCAGCTAAAGGTTTGGTTTTCTTTGCTGCTCTGCAGAATAGCTCATGATGCCAGAATTGGCCTTCATGTCTCAGAGGGTAAATGTCTGGAGATCTCCACCCTGGTGATAATGACAGACCTTCCTAAGCTCTGTTCCCTCACTATCACCACCATTACCACAGGCTCATAGAAGCCTAAACAGTGAAGCTTTATTTTAAAACTCCCGCTGCCCTATAATTTGAGCAATAACGGAGGAGGTCAGAAGGAACGTATCTACTCCTGCCAGAGTGTGAATTATTTTTGCCGTGACAGATTTGGTGCCGCGTCACAGCAGAGCTTTGAAGCCCATCTGTGATTGAAATGAGTTACTTTCAGCAATCATCAGTTGGGATTTAAAATTGGGTGACTCCTGAGGGACTGTTTTGAATGCAGAGTTATCTCATCTATGGAGTGATTTAAATAGGAAGAACTGGGCATGTTTAAGGGTAGTTTCCACCCGGCCTGTTGAAGACGTGACACACTCTAAGCCTGATCGATTGTGATTATAGCTTGACAGGATTTTAATGTGATAATTTAGTTTAAAGGAGACATAACATGCTTTTAAGTTATTCCTTTTTACATCTAAATCCTTCAGTTGGGGTCTAAATACAGTGGAACTGCAGTTCTTTGGTCTGATTTCCTCATTATTGTTACTCTACAGACCCTCATCTACCCCTGTTCTGAGGAGAGTCTTGAGAATTAGCCGTTTTTGGGTACTGTCTCTTTAAACTGGAGGAGGAGCTGTAAACTCCGCCCCCCTCCATAGTGCAGATCTGTACTCTCCTCCCCCAGTCGGACTTTGTAGTTCTATAGAGAAATCATTATTTAGCATAGCAGATTTAGCATAGCATATTAGCATTTTTAAAACATGTGGGGAGAGTAGTTCATCAATCTGTTTCAAGGCTGCTAACTCTCTCATGCATTTGTCTGTAGTCACTCACACACCCGTCACGGCCGACGGAGGGACAAGCGAGCAGGCACGTGCGCGCGCACACACACACTCACACACACACCCGTCACGGCCGACGGAGGGACAAGCGAGCAGGCACGTGCGCGCGCACACACACACTCACACACACACCCGTCACGGCCGATGGAGGGACAAGCGAGCAGGCACGTGCGCGCGCACACACACACTCACACACACACACACATCCGTCACGGCCATAGACTGTACATACACACAAGGAATGCTGCTTGCTTATTTATTTCTATAAAAAATGTTTTAAAAAATGATACAGCTCATTAAAACACCATTAAAAGAATATATTTTATTAAAATCTCTATCTATATATATACATACATATAACTATAAATCATTTTATAAGTAGTCTTATTTTATATTGGGTGTCTTAATGGCTGAAAATGGATAAAAAGCAGTTACATTTTAATTTAAAGATTTGAGATTCTAGTCAAAAATAAATAACATTCCTCCAAGTGTTCTTTAATGTGATCATTATAATTCTAATGCTTACAACTTAGTTTTTATTGTCTGCAATGCGTAGCCTATATCTTTATTAAATATGTGTTTAGCTGTAAAGTGGTAATTCTAATGTGTACAGATAGGTGGACATCAGTGCTGCAGTGAAATTCCCAAGATCAGTCTGCTTTGCTAACAAATATAGTTAAATCTTACCTGTATTCTAAATAAATACCGTTAGGTGAAAACATCAGTAGGCATTGAGTTATTGATAAAATCCCTAACAGCCAGAATGGAAGAAGAGCATGCTGGGTCATCCTGGATCTGAGCCTGTTCTGTGTATTTACCTACAGAATGCAATAAATGTCTACAAGGCTGAGTTTGGACCATTACATCTAAAATAAAACTTACAATCAGTGATTTTTTAAATTGTTTACATTAATATACAAATTTTCTAAGTATTAACCTCACAGCAAATAAGTAGAACAATATAATAAACAGGTTTTAGTAGTTAAACAGGGCGTTGTGCACACAGGTGCTTTGTGTCTCGGTGCTGGTGGTATCTAGGTCTCAGAGTTCCTGTCCTCCTGCCGTCTTCTGTTGTCCTCAGGATACGGATTGATGTTTCCTGATGATGAGGGAGGGGAAGTATGTGGGCTTCAAACTGGTCCTGGATAACAGTGGGAGACCTCCGTTGTCTGAATACTGAGACCAGAGGGTTGGTGAGATGCAGGTCTTCTCTACCTCATCTAGAAACGGAGTTGGTTCAGGGAAAACTTTTCCAATGACCAGTTCCATGATGTCATCGCCATATTCTGCAATGATAGACAATAACTTTAATGACATATTTTGTTTACAAGCAACTTTGGGAAAGTTGTTTCTTTAACTTTCATGTTTAAAGTCACGTTTGTGTTTGTTCACAAGTTCACTTTGCTGCAGTGACTTCATATTCCTACAAATGTAATAAAATAGTGACACTAAAATTATACAAATGACTCCTTATGAAAGGAAGCTCATTAGAGAGCAGTGCAGACAGACTTACTACATGCTGCAGCTGTTTTTGTAGGCCAGCTGCTGCTGAATTTGGGGAAAGTTATTCTGCACACATCCAGATCAGATGGTCGATTACAGAAAATAATGTAATTCAATAATTTCTAAACAGAATAAACAAGTAAAACATCAAATAAATCACTCTGCTGTCATCAGACGGAGTGATACAGGGGGTGAGGTGTTCTTAATGATGAGGGTGGCTGAAGTGTGTCATCACTCACTTTGGTCTGGTCCAGACCGTCTCTTTACTGGTGGGTCTCCTTCCTCAGTAGGTGACGTGAGCTCCAACATCCGAGCGTTCTGTGTTCCTTAGAGGAGAAGAAAAGTAACATTAGCAAGCTGGCTAAATTATTTTTTACTAGCATCTCAAGGCCTTGGAGAAGCAGATCTTCACTTACCTAAACATCAGACCAGTTTGTCCCAGCTGAGCTCATCAGGGCTTTAGTCTGACAGCCTGTCAGTGAAACATGGCTCCAGCCTTCTTGATGTTGACTCTAAAAAGCAAAGGAGCATTTTTACTTTTGTTTTAATTATTTTACAGCCGATTTTATCAGCTTTCCGACGCTCACGCTCATACAGACGGTGAGCTTTGCTGCGTCTGACTGATGCAGTTAGTTTTTATATCTGCAGTGAGACAAAAAACTAACCTCACTTCACTCAGAGATCGTTCTTTAAAACTCTATTAAATCCACTGTGTTGACGCACTTTAATGACTTTGTCACGCTGCATTTTAGCTGATATGGGACTTTTATTTACTGGATGCTAAGATTACATCACACTCACGTAGAATAACACACAGGCTCTCTGCTGTTACAATCAGTGGGAGGTTATCATCTGGTGTAAAAGAAGGCGTTGGTCAGAAATCACGTTTTATTCCACGAAAATCAGCCAAATCCACATTAATCTGGGTGCTAACTTTACTAGCATACTGTGCTAGCGATAGCAAGCCGGATGCTAATGCTTTAGTGCTGCTAATGCCCGTAAATCTAAAGTAAAGTTTGTCGACATTTTAGTTATATGAAGCTTACCGCTCTGCTGCTGTGTCCCGTCGCTGCCACATTCAGATGGAAATGATTCCTTTTAGATAGATGAAGCCCTCAGTACTTACTAGCCTGGAGACACGAACGAACGAACCGCGCGCGCGCGTGCGCGCACACTCACACACACACACACACACACACACACACACTACTTTTTTCTTCTGTGTTTTTTTAGCAGTAGTGTCATCAGCTCCTGGGTTTAAATACTGCCACACCACCCTTCCTTAAAACGAGGAACAGTTTTGAGCTGTGTGTGGCTAAAATAACCAGACATTCTGCATTTTTCCAATAGGACTACAAAAAATCTTAGCGAGAAGAAAAAATGGCGGATTGGCTCTGTGTTTAGCCGAGGGCCATTACCATATTTGGTAGTTATCCTGACGAAATAAATTACTGATGTAATAGATAATTTGAAAAACTGAACGGGTGGACAAATATGCCCAAAACTTAATTATTAAATATCTAAATAGCAACTCCAGTGAATAATATAAGCCTTTTTGCTCACTTAGACACTTAAAATGTGAACACACCGTGTTAATGGATAAAAAAGTAGGTTTTTCATGTTATGTCTCCTTTAAGTGTGAAGCCAGTCCAATAATAATAATGCAAAGCGCTGACATTTTTGTGAATATTTCCAATCTCTAAATGGGTAATGCGAGCTCTGCAGCGTTACCCATTAACGCTGCAGAGCTCTGACCCTTTTCCTGTTTTCCTTCAGGTGTCATTCCTGATGCTGACGGCAGCAATTTGAAGAAAGTCACATCTGACCAGAGGGTAAGGAGTGTCGATGGAGGGTGAAAAAAGATGTCATGTAGGAACTACAGTGCTGAGGAAATCATGTTGACATTCAACCAGATTTTTTTTTTAGGATAAAAGAAACAACCCGGCAGACTCTGTGGAAGATTCAGCTTCTTGGATCTCCAGCTTCATTCCGCAAATCTGGAAACCTGAGGTTTGTTTGTGTGTTTGTGTATGTGCACACATGATGCACATTGGTTGCATGTTTTATACTGCACCTCACCTTCTTTGAACTCTGAATAACGTGCCTGAACCTGCCCAGTTTACTCCCAGCTCAGTGCATTTGCCTGTTTACAGTTTCTTTCTAGTAGCAGACTTCAGCAGCTTTCCCCCGCCTTGAATTGGGGTCATCATGTTTCCACTATATGAGGCGGGTCTGTGCTTTAGTCCGTTGCTTGCGCCTCTTGTTTCATGATGGAGGGCAACCGTTGCCATAACCACAGTTTATTGTAACAGTACCTGGGATCATGTTTATGCAACTTCTGACTTTTTAAACCTTTTTAAAACATTTTTGTCCCGGCTCTTAGTTTTCTTCTAGTTTTTATTCCTTAAAGGAATGCGTTGTCTTTAATTTTACTTATATCATTAAGAATGCACAAGTTTCTTGGTACACAAAAAAAAAGGTGTAAAATGTTATTAATGCTGCAAAACTTCAAGATGTTAACGATGGTTATTTTATAAAAAAAAATTTTCAGTTTTTCCTTAATGTTTACTTTTTAAGGATTACAATTACATCTCAATTAGTTCCAGTTAAAAGCTGTAGGTTGGATTGCACATCTATGATCAGCTTTAGTCATGATTTACTTTCTGCTTTAACACGTTAATGTTTTGGTCTTTGAATGAAAAAGATTAAATTATAAAGTTCTATTTGAGGGTTTATGAAATAGAACCATGCAGTCACCCTTAAATGATTTTATGTTGTAATAATTTTGACTTGGAAACTAATTGCATGCTTTACCAAAACTTGGATTACATCCAGTGTCATAATTTAAGTCATCGTTCATCCCTCTGCAGCCTAAAGGGCTTTAAAGCTTAATTGCGGTGTCAAAAACTTTGCTTTTCCATCTCCTGAATCCAAAAATAAAGTTGGAAACCTGCAGGAAATTAGCAAAAATACTGTATGTAATATTATATAATAAATACTGTACAAAATGTCTATATTAATTCAGTGTTGAGACTCGTGAAGCATTCCATATTTGCATAATGCCTTTAAAAGTTTCAAGCCTGCATTTTGTTGTACAGTTGTCCAAATAATATATATATAATGCACAATTCGTGACTTTAACAAAGCTGTAACTGACATCAAATGAAACAGTCTGCCTTTGTTCCAGGACTTAGAAAATAAAACTAAAACCCTGTTAAGTATTACAACCATCGCTGCAGCCTCGAGTGATCGTTCCACAGCCCTCTGTGTGAACTTCATGATAACCTTTCAGCTAACTTTGCTGACGACAGTAAAGCATTCAGTTTGACCACTAAAGGAAACCAGATCAACCACATCACATGGGTTCTGAATCCAACTTGCCGTTTCCTGCTCCAGTGATGCGATCGTCACACATTTAGATCAGATAACGTGGCGTCTTTGGCAGACTCCACTCAGGTGTGTGTGAGCATCAGGGCATCTGGACCTCTACTTCTACTCTTTCTTATTTATGCTTCCCAGCATCCAAACGGGTCTCCATTTTACACCTCTGTTCTTTGAGGTGATTCCTTTGAGTAATACGTGGTGTACAGGATGAAGGTGTGTTTCACCGTGCTGTTGGTGTCTAAGGGAGGATCTGTTGGTTTTAGTTTTATAAGTGCTTAAGCCAGATGGAGAGCGATCCTGCTGCAGCAAACATAACATGTTGGTCTGGTCTCATCTGTCTTCCTGCAGTTTAAAGGACAGGCCAACCTGCATGTGTTTGAGGACTGGTGCGGCGGTTCTACTGCTGACCTTCGCAAGAACCCGCACTACCCTTTGTACCCACATGTGAGTCACACTCTTATCTTTGATGTGCATTTACTCATGTTTTAACTTTTTTTAAATGAAATTAAACAAAATATGTGACATATTTTATTTACATAATGGCTAATTCCCACATCAGCACACTTATGCTCTCATTCTGGAGATTTTAATCTGTGTTTTTAATCTAAGCATGTATAACGTTCTGGTGAGTTGCTGACAAATGCACGCTCACACATGCACATGGCTTCCTGGTTGCATTCTTACATCTCACGCAAAAGCCTCGCACTCTTGAGCTTGTAATGTCCTCCCAGCCTCAGTCAACTACAAACCTGCTTTTCTGTGTTTTGTACATTCAGTCCAGGACCATGGTGCAGAAACTGGCTGTCACCCCTCAGTGGACCAACTACGGGCTCAGGATATTTGGTTACTTACACCCCTTTGCTGATGGTACTTCCTTTACTTCTACGCTCTGTTACTATGCATGCATGCTGTCAGTGTCAGCTTTATTTTTATTGCATTAGCTGCGATTCTACTAGACGAGTTCTGGGACATTTCTGGGAGGGGGAAGGTGACGGGGAAAATACGATGACTCGGTCGTCTCAACTGTTGTGTCTCTATACAAAAATTGGCCTTTTGTGCTGCAGCAATGTTCTTAGCAATGTGCTAAGAAGTCGGCATATTGTAAATTACATCACTTGGCGTCAAAGTCATGAATAACATTAAAGATGTTTTGTTTTATGAAGGTATACTGTGCAGTGGGTATATTAATAGAGCGACTGTGTCACTTAAAAAGTGGCATTCAATGACCAGATGAAACGCCACAAAGTGGTGAAATTACCCAGAATTTCCAATAGTGGAGACAGGTCTATTGAGTCACTTGAAGTTTCCCATGCAGTCTTGGTGCTTGCATGCTGTAGTAGATTCTTTCACAGATTAGGAGCAGCTGCTGCAAAAGCTGGTGGTCAGACCTGTGTTCTAGGTTGGGTGTGATTATGTAAAAGGTCCTGGTGATAGAATGGGACCAGATTGTTAAAAGCAGTGAAGGGAAACCAGCGATTTTTATTGATTTAGTAGTAAATAAATCTGGATGTCATCTGCAAAGATGTGCATCTTATGCTTGACTTAAGAGTGAAACTCTGCTTCTTCATCACTTTGTTTGATTTGTTTCCTCTGGTTAGGAGACTTTGTATTTGCTTTGAGCTCTGATGACAACTCGGAGTTCTGGCTCAGCACCAACCACTCCCCCCTAAACCTGCACTTGCTCGTCTGGGTTGGAAAGGTGTGCTTGTCATCCTTCTGGATCAATGGAAAATTCCTTAAAGTTGTAGTAGTTAGTCACCTTGTGTATTTTTGTTTCCATAGACTGGTAAAGAATGGACAGCTCCTGGTGAGTTTGAGAAATACGCAAATCAGACGTCAAGACCAGTTCGGTGAGTCTCTGCTACTGTTCATGTGTTAGTCACTGGCTTTAAAAAAATCATATTATTCAGACTGCAGAGTTTGTTCTTTTACATTAAAATAATACAAATTTCAAGTGTCTTATCCTTGTATGTTATGAGTTTATGATTCTAACTAGCAGCGGTACCACAGATTTGTTCTTTATAAAGCATCATTTGGACATCATCAGGGGACAGATGCACTGAATGGAACTCTGTTGATGGGAAAAACTGTCCAAGTATATTTCAAATTTCATTGAAGCTAATTCAAATAAATAATGCAGATTCCTCATTTGGTCCACATTATAAATTTGTTTGATGAAAGACTTCAAGTTGTCTAATAGAAAACGTAAAGGTGCGAAAGTTATTTAAGTTTTTATTAGATAACTTGAACTTTCCTAATGTCAAGATGTGGCAAGGACAGGTGACTTTTTAAATTTTTTTTCCAAAAAGTGTTGACACTTGAAACCTGGTAATTGAAGGAGAACATTATACCCGCCTACCTGATTGTGTATAAAAATGTTTCAACCTCTATTGTCACTAGGATGAGAGCACAAGGTTTACTGTCCATTGTAATCTCCCCCCCCCCCCCCTCTCTCTCTGTCTCTCTCTTTGTCTTTGTCTCTCTCTCTCTCTCTCTCTCTCTCTCTCTCTCTCTCTCTCTCTCTCTCTCCCTCTTTCTCTCTCTCTGTCTCTCTTTCCCTGTCTCTCTCTCTCTCTGTCTTTTTCGCTGTCTCTCTCTTTGTCTCTCTCTCTCTCTCTCTGTCTCGCCTCTGTCTTTTTCGCTGTCTCTCTCTTTGTCTCTCTCTCTCTCTCTTTGTCTCTCTCTCTCTCTTTGTCTCTCTCTCTGTCTTTTTCTCTGTCTTTTTCTCTGTCTCTCTCTCTCTTTCTCTCTCTCTCTCTCTCTCTCTCTCTCTCTCTCTCTCTTTGTCTCTGTCTCTCTCTCTCTCTCTCTCTCTCTCTTTGTCTCTGTCTCTCTGTGTGTCTCTCTCTCTCTCTCTCTCTCTCTCTGTCTCTTTGTCTCTCTCTCTCTCTCTCTCTCTCTCTCTCTCTCTCTTTGTCTCTGTCTCTCTGTGTGTCTCTCTCTCATGCACGCACACACACAAACATAAGCACACCTCTTCCTGCTACTTCTCGGAATTCTGTCTGTGTTGATTATGTAAAAGAGCCAGTTTGATTTTAACCTGCACAAGCTCTAAGTGTCACTAACGTCTGAAATAAGCTGTTAATCACTGCAATCTGTTGTCTTCAGTCATTTATTTCATATTATTGCTTTAACTCTGGTGTGTCTAATTCTGTTGCAGATATTTCCTATTTAAAATAGCAAACTTTGTCTTTCTTTTGTGAGCCAGTGGGTTGGAATTATATTGTGCAGAAATGTCTGTTATAACAAATCATAACTGTAGCATGATAATTACCTCTATTACAACTCTGTACTGGTAAAACATTGCTGCTACTTGTGCTTATTTGAAGAAAGCAATCTTTTTTCCTGGCTTCCTGGAAGTGCTATGTAATCTGCTGCAGGTGTATTTTTTTATGTAATCTATTAGGAAACATTGCAGATCTCTTAGGCTAAACTGGTTTGGTAAGTCAACATCAACAAGAGAGATTGTGCACAAATCAAACAACCAGACAATCTAGAGGTTTTCGTGATTATTTAGACTGAAAATGGGTGTAGCATGTTAGTTTGAAGCTTGAACAGCCTCAAAACCCTTTGTGGCTCATAAACTTTGACCCTTAAGCTGCCATCTGTACCTTTACTACACTATGATTTTCATTGTTTATTGTTGAATGTGGGTTATTCATTTATTTATGTTGTCTGAGTTAAAATTGACCGATATGGGTTTTCCCATTGCTGATACCGATGCCGATGTGTAGAGATAATAGTCAGCCATGTGCTGCCGATCTTTTGGGCTGATATTCAGGGCCGATATCTAGATGTTGTGTGCTAAAATGTCAGTAATGGGGAGCCTAAGCCTCTTTCCCTTCTGGTTGGCTCATGGGTTACTTGACTAGAAAAAAGCTATAAAATGTATTTTCTGGGCCGCTTTGCCATACGCCCTGAATTGCACATATGTTAATATGTTTATTAATCCCAGAGGGAAATTGATTAAGTATTTTTGAATTGAATTGAATTTGAATTGAATTGAATGTTGTACTTTAAATTAAATAAAAAATAAATGTGTTTTTTTAATCATGTCTATCACGTGATGAGAAATTTATTAGCTTGTGTAAAGATTCATAATTAAAAAGATTACAAATCAGATGTTGCTTAAATGACATTACTGCAGAAGCTCTTCCCCCAGCGTACCTGCTACTTACCACATGGCCAGATTTATAGTGGTTTTCTCCATGTTTCTTCTTCTTCTTCTTTGAATCCTGAAAAGAAGAGAAACTCTCCAAACACAGCCATTTTTCTTCTTTCCTCTGTGTGGTTTGAGTACGTATATTTTGTGAGATGAGCATTTGTAGTCCTCAGCTTCACAAAACCCAAACTTGCCGTTGAATGACAAAAATGCATTGATTTATATGAAACTGAACATAGTGTTTGCTATGTTGATGTGTGGAGAAAAATGAACAATTTCTTGTCATCTTGAATTTCACAAACATTTGAATTGCTTTCTTTCAGGCTGTCGTCTCAGAGGAGATACTACTTTGAAGTTATCCACAAGCAGAACGACCGAGGGACCGACCATGTAGAGGTGGCAGTAAGTGCTCCAGCATTCTTGTTTCATAAGTTCACGCTCGATCTGTGCTCACATTGTTGTTCTAAACACGGGTTCTGACGTGGAAGAGATGTTTCATGTTTATTTTCTCACAGTGGCAGCTCCAGGAGGAGCATTTTAGATTCACAATAATCGAATCAAAACACATCTCCCTCTATGTCAGTAAGTACCACATGATCCCAGGTCTAAACTAATTATTCAAGACTGTTGGTCTGATGGTTGGCTGCGACGCAGAAAACTGCAAGCCATTGCTTTTTTCCCCCTCCAACACTTATCTTGCGCTAATACTTTTGTCCCACAGATGAGTCGAGCTTGCTGATGAGCGATGTCGACCACATACCACAAACAGCTGCGAGCCACCAACGCACCTCCACGAAGCAGCACAGCTCCGCAGCAGACATGCTGATGGAAGACCCGAGAGACACATTACACAAAGGTGAGAGACGTCTCCGTTTCCTATCATCCCGGATGCAAGTTCTGATTAAGTTGTTTCTTCTAAGTAGCGATATAATCGTGACTCAAATTGTTGTTTTTTTTCAGTGCGTCTGATCAACAGCGAGTTGATCCGAGGTGTTCTGCCCGACTGCCTGTACAAACCCAGCTATATAATAAAAGACTTTCCTCTCATGCGTTACCAGGGACTTCAGTTTGTATGTATATGTGTGTAGTATGTTATCTTAAAGGGTATTACCATTCATGCATGAAAGTTTTGTGCAAATTGAGCATTTTTTGAATTTGATTCATTTTTTATCTACTTCTGTCTACTTTTAGTAAATTTGACATATAAACTTTAATTACAAGATCTCACAGCTTCCAGGTACTTTTTACTTTATGTCCTTTTCTTTTGCTTTTCTAGGTCCACATGTCCTACATCTACCCAAATGACTACACTCGACTCACTCATATGGAGACAGAGAACAGCTGCTTTTATCCAGAGAGTCCTTACTATATGAAGAGGTAAGTCTTTTGGATGCAACATCCACGTGATTCTCATTGGAAAGTTTGGTTTCTATTTAAAATAACAGTGAGCAGTTTCCACCTTCTTCGCCCTACTGGTTGAAAGTGGAATTACAGTTGTCGTAAACAACCCTGCTGTAGCTAGCACTAACAACAGCCTAACACCAGTGATGGGGAATAATGCAGTTTAAAATAACGGCGTTACTAACGCCGTTCTTTTTTTGGGTAACGGAATAATCTAATGAATTAATTTTCCCACTGTTGCAACGCCGTTACCGTTACTGGGGATGGAAGGTTGTGCGTTACTATGTGCTTGTCGAACGTTGAGCAACAGTGTGAGACTTTCTGACCGCCACACTTCAGCTGCAGCCAGGGAGAGAGATGTGTTGGTAACACACTTACAAACACGATGATGATTGGCCGGGTGGGCGGAGACCCTCAGTGTTCTTACTGTCTCAGTCACTGCATGCTGTAGACACAATAGAGCAGTGATGGGAATAATGCCGTTTAAAATAACCGCGTTACTAAAAAAAATAATTTTTTTCAGTAATGAGCAATCTAATTAATGTCTTCTTTTATCAAAACGTCGTTTCTGTTACTGATAAGAAAAAGCTGTCGTCAGCTGATCAGGAGCAAAAGAGGCAGATGTTTTCATCCAAGCTCATCACGGCCCGTGAAGAATGAGAAAGACGTGATGAATAGTCTACGGCTGCAGGTGTGGATCTGCAGCCGTGCCCTTCTTAGCATGACAGCGGGACTTTCCGAAGGTCCTCTCACCTGTTCACCAATCAGACGTCATGATCTTCTACCTTCCTAGATCATCCAGCTGTAACCTGTTTCTGATCATATCTTTAGTCCCGCTGTAACACTGATGCCTCAGTCTCAGACGTCATGGAGCTCAGGTGTTATTAGAACTACCCGTGTGTTTTTACCACCCAGCTTCAGCTCTTCTGTGGTTGGTTCTGACCCAAGTTAGTACATGTAAGTCCTCCATCAGATTTGTGCCTCTTCTAGTGTCATTTTAAAGGATTTGTATTTATTTATTTATTTAACCTTTACTAGATTACCAGCAACAGAAACGCTACTAAAAAAACGCAATTATGTGAAGCTGGAAAAATTTAAATACTGTGCAAAATTACATTTATTTCTGTAAGTTAACTAGACTGAGAGACCATTTGAAGGATCAGGAACCTTTACAGGTGTTTCTATTTGCAATTTTAAATTTTGACTGACTGGGGTCTTGTTAAATATCACACAGTGACCTTTTAATAGTCTAGATAAGTGTAATGTTCCTGTTAGTAGTTCCTCCTGTTAAGTGCTCTTTTATTTAAATTATTCAGGTTTATAAAAAACATTCAGACATTTTATTATGTTCCAGTCATTAGTCTTTTATATTTCACTATTGTAGTAATTTATAGTAAATTAAGTAAGTTTAATTAAGAGGGGGACCCATTTTTCTTTCATTCTTTAATGAAAAAAGTAACTAAGTAGTTATTTTTCTTGGTAATTAGTTTTTTTTATAATCTCGTAACTCGGCAAGTAACTGAGTTACTTTTATGACAAAGTAATTAGTAACTATAACTAATTACTTTTTAAAAGTAACGTTCCTCACACTGGCTAACACTAACATGAGCCAACTAATACTAAAATGAACCACGAAGTAAAAAGATCCACTTCTATATAATATCACTTATAAGTCCAATAGCAACAAAGCCAGGTCACCATCAGTCTGTGAATTTGTAGCCTTCTTTACCTCCCTCAACCTAGTATAGCCTGCGCCGATGTTTACATCCACATTTCCTTTTAGGAAAACACTTCTGAAAGAGGCGTCGCCTGGCGGACCGAGAGAGCGGCACTGAGGCAGGGATATTCAGCACCCCCTTCAACCGCCCTGCGTGTGCTGTTGGAGTTTCTCAATCTTTAAACTCCTCCTTGAACCGTCACCTTATCGTGGTGGAGGAGTTTGAGTGCCTTAATGATCCTAGGAGCTTTGTTGTCTGGGGCACTTTGTGCCCCTAGTAGGGTCTCCCATGACAAATTGGTCTTAGGTGAAGGGTGAGACAAAGAACGGTTCACAGGACCTTTCATGGAGGTAAATTCAAAGAGTCGGAGTACCCAGCCCGGGGGTTACCGGGGTCCCACCCTGAAGCCAGCCCTGGGGTTGGGGCCCGTGAGCGAGCGCCTGGTGGCCGGGCTTTCGCCCATGGGGCCCGGCCGGGCCCAGCCCGAACCGGATACATGGGCTCATCCAACTGTGGACCCACCACCCGCAGGAGGAACATGAAGGGTCCGGTGCAGTGTGTATCGGGTGGCAGACCAAGGCGGGAGCCTTGACGGTCCGATCCCCGGACAAGAAAACTGGTTTTTGGGACATGGAACATTACCTCGCTGGCGGGGAAAGAGCAGGAGCTTGTGGCAGAGGTTGAGCGGTACCGGCTAGATATAGTCGGACTCACCTCGACACATAGCATTGGCTCTGGAACCCAAGTCCTTGAGAGGGGTTGGACACTCTCCTTTGCTGGAGTTGCTCCGGGTGAGAGGCGGAGGGCTGGGGTTGGCTTTTTGTTAGCCCCAAGACTCTCTGCCTGTGTGTTGGGGTTTACCCCAGGGGACGAGAGGGTAGCTTCCCTGCGCCTTCGGGTCGGGGAACGGGTCCTGACTGTTGTTTTTGCTTATGGGCCAAATATCAGTTCAGAGTACCCACCATTTTTGGAGTCCCTGGGACGAGTGCTAGATAGTGCTCCATCAGGGAACTCCATTGTCCTGCTGGGGGACTTCAATGCTCATGTGGGCAATGACAGCTTGACCTGGAGGGGTGTGATTGGGAGGAACGGCCCGCCTGATCTGAACTCGAGTGGTGTTTCGTTATTGGACTTCTGTGCAAGTCGCAGTTTGGCCATAAAGAACACCATGTTCGAACATATGGATGCCCATCGGTACACTTGGTTCCAGGGCAGCCTAGGTTGCAGGTCGATGATAGACTTTGTAGTTGTATCATCTGACATGCGGCCGTATGTTTTGGACACCCGAGGGAAGAGAGGTGCGGAGCTGTCAACTGATCACCACCTGGTGGTGAGTTGGATCAGATGGCAGTGGAAGATGCCGCGTAGACCTGGCAGACCCAAACGCATAGTGAGGGTCTGCTGGGAATGCCTGGCAGAAGAACCTGTTAAGACGGTCTTCAATTCCCACCTCCGGAAGAGCTTTGACCACGTCCGGAGAGCAGTGGGGACATTCACTCCGAGTGGGCCTTGTTCCACTCTGCAATTGTTGAGGCGGCTGTTGCTATCTGTGGTCGCAAGGTGGCTGGTGCCAGTCATGGTGGCAACCCCCGTACCCGCTGGTGGACACCAGAGGTTCGGGGAGCCGTCAGGCTGAAGAAGGATGCCTACAGGGCGTGGCTGGTCTGTGGGTCTCCGGATGCAGCAGAAAGGTACCGGATAGCCAAGCGGGGTGCACCAGTGGCAGATGCCGAGGCAAAATCTCGGGCGTGGGAGGAGTTTGTTGAGGCCATGGAGAAAGACTGTCGATCGGCTCCAAAGAGGTTCTGGCAAACTGTCCGGCGCCTCAGGAGAGGAAGGCAGCAAGTCGCTCACACTGTTTACAGTGGGGATGGGGAGCTGCTGATGTCAACTAGGGCTATAGTCAGACGGTGGAAGGAATACTTTGATGAGCACCTCAATCCCACCTATGCGCATTCCGAGGAGGAACCAGAGCCGGGAGACCCGGCGATGGACTGTCCAATCTCGGGGGCAGAAGTTGCTGAGGTAGTCAAACAACTACACAGCGGCGGAGCCCCGGGGGCAGATGAGGTTTGTCCTGGGTATCTCAAGGCTATGGATGTTGTAGGGCTGTCATGGTTGACACGTCTCTGCAACATTGCGTGGTCATCGGGGGCAGTTCCTGTGGGGTGGCAGACCGGGGTGGTGGTCCCTATCTTTAAGAAGGGTGACCTGAGGGTGTGTTCCAACTATAGGGGGATCACACTCCTCAGCCTCCCTTTAAAGGTCTACTCCAAGGTACTGGAGAGGAGGGTCTGATCGATAGTTGAATCTCAGATTGAGGAGGAGCAATGTGGTTTTCGTCCTGGCCGTGGAACTGTCGACCAGCTCTATACCCTTGCAAGGGTGATGGAGGGGGCATGGGAGTTGCCCAACCAATCCACATGTGTTTTGTGGATTTGGAGAAGGCTTATGACCATGTCCCCTGGGGCACCCTGTGGGGGACGCTCCAGGAGTATGGGGTGGGTGGCTTTCTGTTAAGGGCCATTCAGTCCTTTTACCAGAGGAGCGTGAGTTTGGTCCGCATTGCCGGTAGTAAGTCGGACCTGTTCCCGCTGAGGGTTGGACTCTGCCAGGGCTGCCTTTTGTCACCGGTTCTGTTCATTACCTTTATGGACAGAATTTCTAGGTGCAGCCATGGTGTGGAGTGTGTCGAGTTTGGTGGCAGGAGAATCTCGTCTCTGCTTTTTGCGGATGATGTGGTCCTCCTAGCTTTGTCCAGCTCTGACCTTCAGCTCTTGCTGGGTAGGTTCGCGGCCGAGTGTGAAGCGGCTGGGATGAGGATCAGCACCTCCAAATTTGAGACCATGGTATTCGACCGGAAAAGGGTGGCTTGCCAACTCCGGGTCGGGGGAGAGGTCCTTAAGTATCTCGGGGTCTTGTTCACAAGTGAGGGTAGGAGGGATCGGGAGATTGACAGGCGGATTGGTTCAGCATCTGCAGTGATGCGGACGCTGAGCCGATCTGTCGTGGTGAAGAGGGAGCTGAGCCAGAAAGCCAGGCTCTCAATTTACCGGTCGATCTACGTCCCAATCCTCACCTATGGTCATGAGCTTTGGGTAATGACCGAAAGAACGAGATTGCGGATACAAGCGGCCGAAATGAGTTTCCTCCGTAGGGTGGCCGGGCTCAGCCTTAGAGATGGGGTGAGGAGCTCGGACATTCGGGAGGGACTCGGAGTAGAACCGCTGCTCCTCCGGATCGAAAGGAGCCATTTGAGGTGGTTTGGGCATCTGGTCAGGATGCCTCCTGGACGCCTCCGTGGGGAGGTGTTTTGGGCATGTCCTCCCGGCAGGAGGCCCCCGGGTCAACCCAGGACACATTGGAGAGATTACATCTCCAATCTGGTCCGGGAACTTCTTGGGGTCCTGCCGGAGGAGCTGGTGGAGAAGGCCGGGGAGAGGACGGTCTGGAGCCCCCTAGTTGGGATGCTGCCCTCGCGACCCGGACCCGGATAAGCGGAGGAAGGCGACGACGATAAACGAGTTGTTAACGAGCACGTGCACGCAAGCACACACTCACTCAAGACTTACTGCTCAGGAGAACGGCAGACAAAGAATCTGCAGCATTCTAGAGGATTTCCTGTTAAACGCGATCATTAGATGAAAAGGGGGAGGAGGGCATTTTTTTCAAGGAGGCGAGCAGCTCAGAGCGCTAATGTGTCAAATCGGCAGGTGATTGGCTGAGCCAGGTGGAGGTGCGGCTGCCTCACCTGGAGACCGGTGGAGTGCAAACATGTAGTACTTTGCTGACAACGTCACACTTTTCAGCTTAGCCATCAGCCACAGCTGGTTCTAAATAAATGTGGAGCAGGGTTTTAACCTGAAGAGGGAGATATAATTACGGTTTTGGGCTGACATATTAAATTTTAAGTAAGTTGCACTAAACTGCCACACAAATGATTACACATGTATACAGCACCATTAGACAGTCATCTATACAGGTTATCAGCAAAAAGAAAGTTAATTTACTGTAGGTGTTACTTGCTCTTTAAAGGAGCAGTACAGCTGAATATCATCTGCATATTTTTGTGATAAGAGACATTATGAAAAGAATCAAGGATCTGTCCAAGAGTGTGTATGTACAGCAGAAACAACAGTGGACCCAAAACAGAGCCTTGGGGTACCCCACAGAAATGGGTTTAGAAAATGGGTTGAAATATAACATGTTGGTGGAGCTGGGTTCTGACTATCAGTATGATCCCCTCCCCGCAGCTCGGCGCATCTCTGATTGCCGCGACGCTTGTCTGCTGCGCGGGCTTCCGGATTGTGGAGCTCTCGGATGGAAACCGATGTTTTCCACCTGGTTCTCCCCTGCGGCAGCTCTGCGCATCCCTGATCGCAGCGGCGCTTGTCTGCTGCACAGCTGCCGGCTTGTGAAGCTCTCGGGAGACCTCTGTGTTCCACGCGGTTTTACACAGCGGCCAGCCCGGCGTTTCTGTGACTCAGAAGCTCTGGTGTTGTACACAGTTAACTCTCGTTGTAGCTAGGTTGCTACCTCCGTTAGCTTAGCTCCCACCTCCGTGTTAGCATCAGGTTAGCTTGTAGCAACATTAGCTTCAGTTCGACAGGTGTCGTCATTTGATCCCAGCCTTACAGCCCAACCCTCAGCTCCGCCTCTCTTCCCTTTTCTGGAATTTCCTGGGCTTGACGGAACCTGTGACATGGTCAAAATGGCAGTGGTGGCCACCTCCCATTTTTCCTCAAAAATGTGTTATTGGAGCTTATGGAAACCCATTGTCTAATATATATATATATATATATATATATATATATATATATATATATATATATATATATATATATATATATATGTGTGTGTGTGTGTGTGTGTGTGTGTGTGTGTGTGTGTGTGTGTGTCGATGGTTTATACAGACACTGTAACTTCTGTTAGAAAAGTACGATCTAAGCCAGTCTAGAACAGTTCCAGAGATCCCCACCGAGTCACCAAGTCTGTTAATTAAGGTGCTGTGATCAACAGTGTCAAAAGCTGCTGTGAACTCTCTGTTGTCTGCAGCCATCATGATGTCACTTGAAACTTTAAGCAAAGCTGTTTTTGTTGAATGCTTTTTACGAAAACCAGACTGGAATTTATCTAAACTGTTGTGTAGTTCCACAAAAGTAATCAGTTGATCTGCCAAAACTTTTTCCCATATTTTAGAGATAAAGCGTAATTTAGAAATGGGTCTGTAATTTTTAGGCTGAGATGAGTCCAAACTTGTTTTTTTAAGGATAGGTTCAATAACTGCATGTTTGAAAACAGATGGTACAGAGCCAGATTGTAGGGATAAATTAATAAAATCTACAATGCATGGGCCACTTTGGTCAAACAAATGATAGGTAGTAGGAATGAAATCAGCAGGGCATGAGATTGGCTTCATGTGTTTCTGAATGAAGCAAATGACCTGGAAATCTACAGGAGTAAAGACAGACCATGACTGGGGGGGGGGGGGGGGGGAGTAGGTGAGGATGAAAAACTTGCACTGATACTTCTGATTTTATTCTCAAAGAATGCTGGAAAGTTGTTACAGTCAAGCCTTGAGTAAACTGGCATAAGAGGAGTGTGAGGAGAAACGATCTGGTTTATGGTGTCAAACAGGACTTTAGAGTTATTTTTGTTTACAACAATCAGCTGAGCAAAGTAAGTGGCCCTGGAAGTTTTCACCATCTCATTTCACTCATCAATTTTTCAGAAGTTGCAAAAGGGCCATTTTTCACCAGATTACAGACATGTTTGTCCTTAAAGACCCCCAGCAAGACCTCCACCACGACATGTCTGGCATGAAGCAGAAGTAAAACTAAAAGATGCTGGGCAGTGGCTCTCCAAGACCAGGAGAGAGTACCACTGAGCTAGACTGAGTACAAATATTCAAGTTCTGGCAGTTTTTTTTTATTCATTAAGATGGTTTTCTTCTTATTGCTCAATTGTCCAACTGCTGATGGGTACAAACTGTTCTTATGATGGGAAATATCAGTTCTGATGGTTTGTGGGAAGCAGCTCTGTATTTGATTGCTCAGTGCTTCATCCTCGTTAATGAGGAGTTCTGTTTTATTGTGGTAAAGAAAACATGGAATTAAATGGTGGAGCTCTCAGTTTAATACTCTACATTCCAACTCTGATCACAATATTTGGATCAAAATCAATAAGATAAAAGGGGTTGAAATGAGCTTCCTTCATAGGGCAACAAGTCTAACTTCAGCGATACGGTGAAGAGCTCAATCATCACGTGGAAGCTCACAGTAGAATGGCTGCACCTTCTAATTCAAAGACGTCAGCCATCCATCTGGTGGTTTTCCAATCACATCCCAATAGGAGGAGACCCCAAATTCACTGGAGGGAGTAGAGATCCTCTTTTTACTTGAGAATTTCCGAGGACTCCTTCAGAAGGAACTGGAAAGTACAATTTCTGGGTTTTCGCCCAATGTTATCTCAATTACGGTTAGCAGCACTTTTTACTGCTCACCCCCAGTACAGATACTGATCAGAGCAGTACTTATTTGTTTTGCATCAAAGAGATTTGCAGAAATGTATTATTTATAACTTGTTTCCAGTTTTCAGCATAAAAAAACCCAACTAAATCTCTCAAAGCGAAATCCCTCTGACTTCCTGTTTGCTCAGGCTGCTCATACAGCCCTGCTTCAATTATTTGAACTTTCCTCCAAACTGTTTTTATCAAGATATTGGGAACTTACAGTTCTGCTTGAGTAATTTGCAAGTATATTTTTAAAAAATGAACTGCCTATTTAAATAACTTTGTTTTGCATCCTGCAGGTTTGGTTTTTCTAGGTACATGAGACTGGATCGTCCAAATGAGCAGAGAATAGAAAACGGAGGCAGAGGTATTTTGATTTCTATTCCTTTTCCGTATTATTAGACCATTTTAGTTAGCATTTCTAACTCTGTTCTTTATTATTATGTTGTTTTTTTGTGAATGTTAGATTTTGACTTCCAGAGGAGGAAATCTGTTCAAAATGAGGACAACTCTGACAACGAGGCCTATGAGAGAGAAAATGAAGTCGTGGTGGACCAGACAAAAAATGCTTACTACGAGGAAAATGGAGATGATTATGATGATTACATTCTCAAACACAGGCGTAAACTCTTCTCCTTTATGACTCAAGAAGCTAACAACACACTGGACCAGTCTTCTGATATGAAACCACACACTGAGGACATGCTGAAGATGCAAGTGAAAGTCGATGTGCCACAACCTCTGGAGGAACCAAGAAGAACGGCTCAGCCCCTGCAGACGATACAGGCTTCAAGTCCGTGTGTGCAACCAACCAGGAGTGAGTCAAAACAAACAGTTCCTGTTCAGAAAATAAGACCAGTTAATTCAAAAAGAAAAGTAAGACCAAAGAGAAAAAGAGTCCAATCATTTGTGAAACCAGAGCAAAACAATTCATCAGTGGTTAAAGCAAAGCAGCAACCAGCTGTACGATCAGAGAAGCTCATCCCCAAAAAGAAAATGGTACAGATGTCTCATCAACTAATGAACACACAAATCCAGACAATCAAACAATCTCCTTTTCAAAACAAAAGCAGGGGCTCGCTGCCGAGGACAAAAACCACAGCAGCCAGTCAGTTTGTGAAGAAAGGGGCAGAGCTCAACGCATCCATAACGTGGCGTTTTACTACTCCTAGAAGAAGCTCCAACCGCGTCATCAAAAGATCAAAAGAAGTAGTAACACATTCCAAGAATTCAAATGTGAATATGGCTAAAAAACAAATCATGAATATTCACGATAAAGAGGTTCAAGGAATAAATAAAAACTCGTGGTCGGACAGGAGAAGAGAGGGGAGTCAAAGGGAGGAGAGTGAGAACGATAACCGAGCTGACAGCAGAATAAACGCAAATAAGGTAGAGAGATTCACTCTGTGGGATCAACAAGGAGACAACACCGAAGGTGTGGAAGACGAGGATCTCACTCCAGCCCCAGTATTCGACACCCAGGTGAACTGGAACCAGACCTTCCAGGTGAACCAACTGGACCTTCATGCAAAGCGTTCAGATTGGATCGACCTGAACTGCAACATCTCAGGAAACTTGCTGCTTCACCCCACTGATGCTCTGCCCATCGTCAAGGCGTTCATGGATCAGCTGAATGAAAAGCATAAAGGGTGTGTATCTTACATGTTTAAATCATATATACAGATCTACAGGTCCTTCTCAAAAAATTAGCATATTGTGATAAAGTTAATTATTGTCTGTAATGTACTGATAAACATTAGACTTTCATATATATTAGATTCATTACACACAACTGAAGTAGTTTAAGCCTTTTATTGTTTCTAATATTGATGATTTTGGCATACAGCTCATGAAAACCCAAAATTCCTATCTAAAAAAATTAGCATATTTCATCTGACCAATAAAAGTGTTTTTAATACAAAGAAAGTGAACCTTCAAATAATTATGTTCAGTTATGCACTCAATACTTGGTCAGGAATCCTTTTGCAGAAATGACTGCTTCACTGTGGCGTGGCATGGAGGCAATCAGCCTGTGGCACTGCTGAGGTGTTTTGGAGGCCCAGGATGCTTCGATAGCGGCCTTAAGCTCATGCAGAGTGTTGGCTCTTGCGTCTCTCAACTTTCCCTTAACAATATCCCACAGATACTCTATGGGGAGAGTTGGCAGGCCAGTTGAGCACAGTAACACCATGGTCAGTAAACCATTTACCAGTGTTTTTGGCACTGTGAGCAGGTGCCAGGTCGTGCTGAAAAATGAAATCTTCATCTCCATAAAGCTTTTCAGCAGATGGAAGCATGAAATGCTCCAAAATCTCCTGATAGCTAGCTACATTGACCCTGCCCTTGATAAAACACAGTGGACCAACACCAGCAGCTGACATGGCACCCCAGACCATCACTGACTGTGGGTACTTGACACTGGACTTCAGGCATTTCCCTCGGCCCAGTCTTCCTCCAGACTCTGGCACCTTGATTTCCGAATGACATGCAAAATTTTCTTTAATCCAAAAACAGTACTTTGGACCACTGAGCAACAGTCCAGTGCTGCTTCTCTGTAGCCCAGGTCAGGCGCATCTGCCGCTGTTTCTGGTTCAAAAGTGGCTTGACCTGGGGAATGCGGCACCTGTAGCCCATTTCCTGCACACGCCTGTACATGGTGGCTCTGGATGTTTCTACTCCAGACTCAGTCCACTGCTTCCGCAGGTCCCCCAAGGTCTGGAATCAGTCCTTCTCCATAATCGTCCTCAGGGTCCAGTCACTTCTTCTCATTGTGCAGCGTTTTCTGCCACACTTTTTCCTTCCCACAGACTGCCCACTGAGGTGCCTTGATACAGCAGTCTGGGAACAGCCTATTCTTTCAGAAATTTCTTTCTGTGGCTTACCCTCTTGCTTGAGGGTGTCAATGATGGCCTTCTGGACAGCAGTCAGGTCGGCAGTCTTACCCATGATTGGGGTTTTGAGTAATGAGCCAGGCTGGGAGTTTTTAAAAGCCTCAGGAATCTTTTGCAGGTGTTTAGAGTTATTAGTTGATTTGAATGATTAGGTTAATAGCTCGTTTAGAGAACCTTTTCGTGATATGCACATTTTTTGAGATAGGACTTTTGGGTTTTCATGAGCTGTATGCCAAAATCATCAATATTAGAAACAATAAAAGGCTTGAACTACTTCAGTTGTGTGTAATGAATCTAATATATATGAAAGTCTAATGTTTATCAGTATATTACAGACATTAATGAACTATATCACAATATGCTAATTTTGTGAGAAGGACCTGTATACGTCTCGCCAAGTGCTGTAAGTTATATTTTTGATTGCATTTCTTTTTTGTACACTTATTTTCCAACACAGATAGTTTTATAGGTAATTAAAAAAAAAATCTGTTAAAATAACAATAAGTGACTCAAACTTTGTTGATCTTAATAATCCTGGAGATGAGTACAAAACTACTATTGAGTCTTTCAAACATTTCAAACTGATGAAAATATTCAGATAACTGTAAATCATCAATAACCAAGAACAGCCTGTCAAAAGAAAATTCTCATGTTAACCACAGTAGAAATGTGGAAACATATCTGCCGTTATTATTTGATTGAAGCAGCCACAATATTAAAAAGTGGCTGTGAACCCCACATCAGTCAGTCATGTGTAAGTCATCAACATTGAAGTTTGATCGTGCTGTTTTGTCTCTTTATTCTCATCTTTTCTGGTCACCCCTGCAGGCGGTTCACCCTGGTACGGGTGGTTAACGTGGTGAAGCGTGTCGACGGCAGTCAGGGCAGTCGCTATCTCCTGGAGCTGGAGCTGAAAGACTTGAACGGCCAGCTGCTGCGCCTGACGCAGTACGTCTACGCTCTGATTCGCCACGGCCGACCGCGCAGCAGGAACTTCGGCCTCCATCGCTCCAGGCCTCAGCTGGTGCTATGTAACCCCGTGGGCTTCCGCTGGCACCCTTTTGCCACTGTTCACTTCATCGTGCCAGGTACGTCACTTCCTGCATCCATGGTTCAATAATCACGCATATTTTTCAAAAATGTTTTACTCTTCATCTGGGTTTAAGGCATTTACATTTATTTTTCTTAAATATTCCCTTTTTAATGACAGACCTTTTTTTTTAAATATCACAGCATTTATTTCAGACACTTGGCATGGACCATCTTCTGTTGCTTTAGGAATAACCACCTGATAATGCAAATGGCTTCCCGGTGTAAAAGCACACCCAGAGCAGAGATTATTACAGTTGACACTTGTTTGACAGCCTAAGCCTGTTCCTGTCAACATTCTCTACAAATCATAGAGGAAGTAGATAATCAGCTATTGTTTTGACTGTTTTTGTGGCATTTTATCGGCACTTTTCACGCCATTAAAGTGTGTATTTTTGTGTGTTTTCAGTTAAGAATCAGGCTCGTTGGGTGCTGCAGCTGATTGCAGACATGGAGCAGCTGTTCAAAGAAAGTGGAGATTCAAACTTTAACCTCATCATCACCGACTACAGCAGCACTGACATGGATGTGAAGAAGGCCCTTCAGAAATCCTCACTCCCCAGGTCAGCTTTGGTTTGTATCCAGTATGTCTGTTTTCGAATAGTTGGAGGCGCAATACAGTGGGGCAAAAAAGTATTTGGTCAGCCACCGATTGTGCAAGTTCTCCCCCTTAAAATGATGACAGAGGTCAGTAATTTTCATCATAGGTACACTTCAACTGTGAGAAACAGAATGTGAAAAAAAATCCATGAATTCACATGGCAGGATTTTTAAAGTATTTATTTGTAAATCAGGGTGGAAAATAAGTATTTGGTCAATAACAAAAATTCAACTCAATACTTTGTAACATAACTTTTGTTGGCAATAACAGAGGTCAAACGATTACTATAGGTCTTTACCAGGTTTGCACACACAGTAGCTGGTATTTTGGCCCATTCCTCCATGCAGATCTTCTCGAGAGCAGTGATGTTTTGGGGCTGTCGCCGAGCAACACAGACTTTCAACTCCCTCCACAGATTTTCCATGGGGTTGAGGTCTGGGGACTGGCTAGGCCACTCCAGGACTTTCAAATGCTTCTTACGGAGCCACTCCTTTGTTGCTCGGGTGGTGTGTTTGGGATCACTGTCGTGTTGGAAGACCCAGCCACATTTCATCTTCAAAGCTCTCACTGATGCCATGTGAATTCATGGATTTTTTTTTCACATTCTGTCTCTCACAGTTGAAGTGTACCTATGATGCAAATTACTGACCTCTGTCATCATTTTAAGTGGGAGAACTTGCACAATCAGTGGCTGACTAAATACTTTTTTGCCCCACTGTACATTCATTGCATTGTTGCAGATTTTCTTATGGCAATTTAGCCACAAAATGTCTTCATCACACCCTTTCCCAAAGTCCTCTCACGTTTTTTTGCACTTTTTTGACCCAGAAACTAAATTGATATGGGTTTAAGATTAGTTCCAGATACCAGAGATGCATTTGAGACAAAAGTCTTTGGAGAAAAATCTTGAAAATTCCTGCAACTTTTGAGCAAATGTTTTGAGACACTATGGAATTTCCCTCTTGGAGGTTTTTTGCAATTTGTCTGATTAAACGTTGTGTTGCATTATTATGTTATTTAACATTTGTATAGGAGGATTAACCCTTTCAGGTGTGCCATCTTGTTTTCGAAGGGGTACTCCAGAAAGTTTTCAAAACAGAAAATAAAATAACTCATCCATCCATCCATTTTCCGAACCCGCTTTGTCCACGCAGGGGCGGGCGGGGGTGGCTGGTGCCTATCTCCAGCGGTCAACGGGCAATCAGGCGGTGTACACCCTGGACAGAGAGCCAGTCCATCGCAGTAAAATACCTCATTCATATCTAACATATCACTCTCGTTATTCACCCAGAGTAATAAAGAAGAGATCTCAAATCTGTGAAATAAGCAGACAGAAAGGTACAATTTCTGCTCCAGGTGAACTTAAAGGTGTGAACCACTAAAAAAAACATATTTTAACTTAATTTCTGATTATAATCGACCACTCTGAGTTTTTAAATGCAGGGTTAGGGTTAGCTTCTGTTAGAAAATGGATGGTGAAACTCTATAAAATCCTGACAGAGCTATGTCACACTGTCACTTAGCTTTCATGGACTCACCCATCTTGACTTCTGACAGAGAAGGCTGTTGTTAATTTAGCGTCCAGGAAATGGCAGAGAACGTCTCAGCTAGTAGATGCTAAACATTAGCATTTGCAACTTCACCACATGGCAGAACTCCTTCAAACTTGTGTTATTTGTGGAGATAAAACATCCATATTGCAAGTCAGTGGGAGAGTCGCATTGCTGTTATTCAATCCGAGGCGATATGTCCAAATATCAGGAAATAAGAGCCAAAATCCCCCGTCTGAAGCTCAGCTGTGATATGGCTCCTTTCTAGCTCCTGGAAATGGTGCACCAGTGCTTCGTCAAGAGGCTACAAGCAGTAATGTTTTGGTAAACTATATAATCAAAATCTAAAAGAAGATATTCTGTCATGCTTGTGTGGTTTAACAGGTACCAGTACGTGAAGCTGAGTGGGAACTTTGAGCGCTCTGCCGGTCTGCAAGCAGGAGTTGATCTGATAAGTGTAAGTACTTCAGAAACACCTGAAGTTACGTCTAAATATGCTAAATATTAATTATTCAGATCTTTCTGCTTTAGGACGACCACAGCATCGTGTTCCTTTGTGATCTCCACATCCACTTCCCTCCTTCAATCATTGATACCATCAGGAAGCACTGTGTTGAGGGATACATGGCTTTTGCTCCCATAGTTCTGAGACTGGACTGTGGCATGACGCCAGCAGAAGCCGTAGGTGGGCATGAATACTTTTCCCACGTTTATTTTTATTTTAAGAGAGATGGTGTAATTCTAGATTCTAATTTTCAGCTGGTTTAGAAATCTAGACAGACAGTAGCCGACGCAAAATGGCTTTGCTCTGCAGGTCGGTTCAGCCATAGGAGCCTCAGCAGGCCTACCATTGGCCTGAGCAGTTTTGTGTTATGCCAATCACGATGGTCGATCGGTTTAGTGGGCTGGATGATGCAGTGGAGCAGAAAAACTAAGATGGCACAGGCTAGTTTGAAACGGCGTTGGCATCGATGTTAGACTTTGGATTTTCTTTATAGAGGTACTTCTGTCCTTTGTGTGTCTTGTTTGACGGTGTATGGCAGACTTCCCGCTGACTTAAGCCTGATTTATGCTTCTCCGTCTGCGTCAGTGCGGAGACACGCAACGCCATTATCCGTCCTTGCGTAGGGCTCCGGCAGGCACGCAAGTACGTACGGAGTCGAGCCCACTTTTTTAAACATCCGTCGAACGAGACGGATTACGCAAGCTTGTGATTGGTCAGGACGCCGCTGTTGTTTACAGCGCCGCCATTGCAAAGAGAGCCGAGGATAACTAGCGGCAGACACGGAGAAGCTTGAAGAATACCTCGCGAAAAAAACTCTAAAAATATGAACGTTTAATTCTCCCGTGACTGGAGGAGTGAAAAGATGCGCAGCAAGCGTTTTATTTGTGGATGGAAATGACAGGAAACGTGGGTTTAGAGGTGGGGAGTGCATGAAGCGGTGGGAGAATGAGAGACAAATACGTCCGTGTTAAAAGTCTCTTATATACACAAAAAACACAATATAAACACACGATCTTGGACCGATACATGACAGGATACCACAGAACAGCGCTACGCCCTCTGCTGTCCTGCCGGGCAATTGCTTTGCAACACTCTCCAGGAGACGGAGAAGTAAAAGCGCAAAACGCTTCCGTCAATCCGTGCGTGTCTGTCCCTTGCGGAGCTGACGGAGAAGCATAAACCAGGCTTTACACCCACAGCAATGAGTGTGTCACGTTGTCAATAGCATGCAGAGACAGTTTGAAAGTGTACCATAGACTCCGCCCCATGATTGAGCTCTGTCTGATTGGTCGTGGCCAGGCTATACATTCACATATATAAGCTGGCCTGCCTGGCTATTTTTCAGCTGGATTTTGATGAGATGATTATAATTATTTTGTCACTTCTCTGTAAATCGGTTATTTCCTCTGACCTGTTTAGAAAGGCGTGCTTTTCCGCACTGCCAACTGTAGAAAGTGCTGGTGCCCTTTTACCGTTGCTCCGTAGAGAGCATCCTGACTGGCTGCTTGTGGGTGTGGTTTGCCAGTTGCACGGCAGCAAGCAAGAAAGCGCTCTCCCCACTCTGGAAGATCTGTATAGTGCCCGCTGCCTCAGAAGGGCTACTTTCATTCGGGTCACTCGTACTTTGAACTGTTGCCCTCTGGGAGTTGTTAAAAGCACGAACAAGCAAACAGAAAAACAGTTTCTATGCAAAAGCAATAAGCGCATTAAACACATTATAGATATGACTTTCATCATTATCCTTCTAAACTGTGTAATATCATGTGTTGTTCAATAATACATTAATGGTATGAGGATGTGATTGTGAGTGCATATGTTTTATTTACTAATTAATTTTTATTTCTTATTTTTATCATTTTTATGCACCACAGGAGATGACACCACTTTTTTATTTCGTTGTACGTGTACAATGACATTAAAGGCATTCTATTCTATTCTACATTCTTTATTTGGGTTATTTTCTGTATTTATTTTACATGAAACTGAGTAGCTTTTGTTTTTTCTTGCCAGTTAGAGGCATAAATGTGATTGAAAATAAGATTTTGGTCATGCTTATGTGAAATTTAACCAAGAGTAGTCAATGTAAAGGGTTATTGACACATTTATTGTGTTAAGAACAAACTCAGAAATAAACAAGTGACTCGTTTTAGAAACTATTGGGCCATTCCCATCTGTACCGGGTCGGCCCGGGCCGGGTAGCGTAGGTTGTTTACATATCTGGGTGGCCTGGTATTTTTCCGGGCCAACCAAGGCTCATTCTCAGCCCTCTTCTCGAGGGGGTCTGCTTCAGGCCGACCAGGGCCAACACACCCACTGCTGATGGCAAATTCACACCTTCCATTAGAGCAAGCCTCTGATTGGTGGGTAGAATCAGACCACATGGGCTTAAGGCAAGAATGTGTGGAATCAACCGGGCCAGGCTGGGGCCGACTGGGGCTACCCGGCCCGGGCCGACCCGGTACAGATGGGAATGGCCCATAAGAGAGTGATTAAATGATGTTAAAAGTGTTGTTGACTTGTCTGCCTGCAGGTTTCTGGGAGGTCAATGGTTTTGGCTTGCTGGGGATTTATAAATCAGACCTGGATGCCATCGGAGGAATGAACACCAGAGATTTCAGAGACCGCTGGGGAGGAGAAGACTGGGAGCTCATTGACAGGTCGGTTCCTCGCTTCATAATGTCTCCATCCACAGACCTCTTGCAATCAGCTTTGTAGTGTTTACTTCATTCGCTTCTGCTTCCTGTTCTTGTTTCACTAAATTGCACAAACAGACAAAATGTGTAACTGTAATCGTTGAGGCAGCAACATCTATGGAGAATTTGTATTAAAGTGAAATATTTCAGTGTATCACTTCTGACAATTTATTTAAATCAGATTCAAATGTAAACAAATGGCATCATGGGTGGTGAACTCTTACGTTCGTGCTGGAGGTTTATACACGTATCCTACGGAGAACCGAAATTGATTTATGTAAAATTTTCATTATAAACCCTTAAATTACAGTGGTAAAATACTAACATTTAGCAGTTTTGGGGCTTCTATTCTGAAAAATCAACATTATTTAATGATTTTGTTTAATATTATGTTTTTGCACGGTCTAACAGAGCTGGAAATGTCCTTTGTGTATTTAAATTAGATGAAAAACAGTCACAAAGTTCAAATTTCCAGGCTCTGAATAAATTAAATGGTAGCACATTAACCACCATGTGTAAACTGCGGTACTTAGGAGGAAGATGGCTAACTACAGGTTTATTTATTAGCTGTTTTAATCTGAGTTTTGAGCTGAAGTTACTCAGCTGCAAAACATTTACATAACTTTTTATTTTTTTAAACACTTATATCCTTTTTTTTCCAAACTGGGTTTTTCTTCTCCTTTCTTTTATTTTAGTTTTCAAACTAGCTTGAAGTTTTTCCTCTTCTGTCTGTTTCAGGATCATGCAGGGCGGCCTGGAGGTGGAGAGGATCTATCTCAGGAACTTTTACCACTACTATCACTCCAAACGTGGCATGTGGAACCGGCGGATGTCAGCAAGCCTCAGGTGACCTCGCCAAGCGGTGCTGCACCTCAACATCGCCATGGTTGCAACCATGGCAACCAGAGCACTTTAAGGCCCAGACCGTGACTTCTGCTGTGCCTTAGTAACGCCTGCTGATCAGCGGATGGATCGACGTCAGAGCGGGTGCTGCCTCGGGCTTTATGATGGACGGTTTTATATTAAGATGATACTACTGCTGAGTTTTCCACTGGATGTACGGACTACTGAGATCGCGAGTGATTCAGCGTTGATGACTGACACCGGTGCGCACAGCGCAGCCATCTGAGACTCTGATCTACACAAAAACAATTGAACTTTTCATTGCACACACCAGGAATGCACCAACACAAGTGTCCTTTATAATCACCAGTCTTGCACACTAGTCTGAACTGGGAACTTGACTTTTTCTTTGTGAGAAAATTAAATAATGGATTGCTGATTCAATGTTGTAAAAAGAAGGAAATGTACTATTTATTAAGTCTGTTTATTTGTGATGTTTTTTTGTTGGGTTTTTTTGCACCTGCATTTGAATTAGAATATTATTTCCAGTCATAGAGATACCTCAGTTTACCTCTCTAAGTGGCCTCTTGGCTGAAATATGACAGCTGAAATGAAAGTGATTTAATGCAGGAACAATCAACAAGTAAATAATCAGATATTACCAAAGAAAGTCTCTAAAAGGCTCATTTATAAAGAAGCTTCTGTTTTGGAACTGTACTTAAAATGAGTCAAGGTCATTTATGTTGATGTCAGTTTTATTTTATTTTATTTTTTCAATGAATCTCTACTTTAAACATGTTGTTTTTGTACATTACATGCAGCTGATTTACCTGACGCATGTGTAAAATCTATATTGATCATATTTATGGTTCACAATCCAGGTCAAATCAGTAATTCTTGCCAGAAAAAGATGTCAAAGTGTATTTTTTTTCATGTCAGAAAACAAGTTTGTTCTTAGGTCACGCTAAACGTTTGTTTTATAACAATAAAATGGTGAGAATTTATTGTAGTAGGATTTTATATGGCACAGTAGGTTGTTGTGTTTCCATTCTCCACAGTTTTGGTGAAAGCTTATTATATTTCATTATTAATAATTCACCCTCTGCCTTATTGTTCATTTTTCTCTACAGTCTCCTTTCTCAGGGACACCTTACACTGCCCGGACAAACCAGAGAAATAAATTCAGAATGTTTCAATTTGTGTATGTTGGTGGGTTCTATTTTTCTAATCTTTTATCTTGTTTTAAACTTGTGTACAGATGATCTAAAACAAGATGTTAGGGGCTTTACTTTCACACGCTGTTCCTGTTTAGTAGAGCACACTGTGCCTCCTTGTTATTTTCACTTTGCATGTTTGTATTTAGCTTTTGTTTGAGATAGCATGTTTGTCTTGCTCGATTTGTTTAAATTTGATAATTCTATGCTTTGTTAAAATATTTAACCAAGGCGTGGAACAGGTCATCAGAGAGTAAACTCCACAGGTGAGGTCATACAGGATCTCTGCTACATACAGTCCTGCAAATATGTACTTATGGAGCTCTTCTATTTTTGTTTTTCTAATTGATGAAAAAAATTTGAGTTTTTTATGTATAGTTCCTGAGAAAACATGCCAATCAAACACATTCAACCTCTTCGTTGGGTGTTCACCTAATTTTTAAAAGCGATCAGGAAGAAATAATTTGGTGCTACTGATTAAGATGTGACCTAATCTTCTTTATTGGCTCACACAGATAACTGGTTTAAAAGCTTGATCAAATAACTGAAAAGAAACTGAATTCTGTCCATTACAAATTCACCAGACACAACAGTCGTTGCTGGTAAGCAATCTTCAATGAAATGTGCAGACATATCAGATTGCATTAGTCTCTGTGGTAATTTCTTGAGAAGATTTGAGGAAAAACAAAATTTAACATACAGCAATATGATCTAATACTTGTAGGCAGTGTAGCAAAAATTCTCAGAACTGCCTGAGACGGCTAGTTTTCAAGAAATTAATCAAGCTTCGGTGAGCTGGAGTTGGGATTTCTTCACTCAGATTTATTAGAGTTTATATCTAATGAAACTACACTATGGACTTTATCAACAGAAAATATTTCATGGAATGTTTTAAATGTTAAATAATTATCTTGGTATTTTTTCCAAAGATTATGGGATTGCCTTTTCACTCTTGCTGATGACCTTCAGTTCTATCTTCCATTATCAGCTAACTGCCAAGTTCAGTTCAAACCATGTTGTCTCGATATGCAGTAAAGGTTAGCTTCGTCTTCGTCTTCCTCCGCTTATCCGGGTCCGGGTCGCAGGGGCAGCATCCCAATTAGGGAGCTCCAGGCCGTCCTCTCCCCGGCCTTGTCCACCAGCTCCTCCGGCAGGACCCCAAGGCGTTCCCGGACCAGATTGGAGATGTAACCTCTCCAACGTGTCCTGGGTCGACCCGGGGGCCTTCTGCTGGCAGGACATGCCCGAAACACCTCCCCGGGGAGGCGTCCAGGAGGCATCCTGACCAGATGCCCAAACCACCTCAACTGGCTCCTTTCGATCCGGAGGAGCAGCGGTTCTACTCCGAGTCCCTCCCGAATGTCCGAGCTCCTCACCCTATCTCTAAGGCTGAGCCCGGCCACCCTACGGAGGAAACTCATTTCGGCCGCTTGTATCCGCGATCTCGTTCTTTCGGTCATTACCCAAAGCTCATGACCATAGGTGAGGATTGGGACGTAGATCGACCGGTAAATCGAGAGCCTGGCTTTCTGGCTCAGCTCCCTCTTCCCCACGACAGATCGGCTCAGCGTCCGCATCACTGCAGACGCCGAACCAATCCGCCTGTCGATCTCCCGATCCCTCCTACCCTCACTCGTGAACAAGACCCTGAGATACTTAAACTCCTCCACTTGAGGTAGGACCTCTCCCCCGACCCGGAGGAGGCAAGCCACCCTTTTCCGGTCGAGAACCATGGTCTCAGATTTGGAGGTGCTGATCCTCATCCCAGCCGCTTCACATTCGGCCGCGAACCTACCCAGCAAGAGCTGAAGGTCAGAGCTGGATGAAGCTAGGAGGACCACATCATCCGCAAAAAGCAGAGACGAGATTCTCCTGCCACCAAACTCGACACACTCCACACCACGGCTGCGTCTAGAAATTCTGTCCATAAAAGTGATGAACAGAAACGGTGACAAAGGGCAGCCCTGGCGGAGTCCAACCCTCACTGGGAACAGGTCCGACTTACTACCGGCTATGCGGACCAAACTCACGCTCCTCTGGTAAAAGGACTGAATGGCCCTTAACAGAAAGCCACCCACCCCATACTCCTGGAGCGTCCCCCACAGGGTGCCCCTGGGGACACGGTCATAAGCCTTCTCCAAATCCACAAAGCACATGTGGATTGGTTGGGCAAACTCCCATGCCCCCTCCATCACCCTTGCAAGGGTATAGAGCTGGTCCACAGTTCCACGGCCAGGACGAAAACCACATTGCTCCTCCTCTATCTGAGATTCAACTATCGATCGGACCCTCCTCTCCAGTACCTTGGCGTAGACCTTTCCAGGGAGGCTGAGGAGTGTGATCCCCCTATAGTTGGAACACACCCTCAGGTCACCCTTCTTAAAGATGGGGACCACCACCCCGGTCTGCCACTCCCTAGGAACTGCCCCCGATGACCACGCAATGTTGTAGAGACGTGTCAACCATGACAGCCCTACAACATCCATAGCCTTGAGATACCCAGGACGAACCTCATCCGCCCCCGGGGCTCCGCCGCTGTGTAGTTGTTTGACTACCTCAGCAACTTCTGCCCCCGAGATCAGACAGTCCATCCCCAGGCCTCCCAGCTCTGGTTCCTCCTCGGAATGCGCATTGGTGGGATTGAGGAGCTCCTCAAAGTATTCCTTCCACCGTCCGACTATAGCCTCAGTTGACGTCAGAAGCTCCCCATCCCCACTGTAAACAGTGTGAGCGAGTTGCTGCCTTCCTCTCCTGAGGCGCCGGACAGTTTGCCAGAACCTCTTTGGAGCCGATCGATAGTCTTTCTCCATGGCCTCACCAAACTCCTCCCACGCCCGTTTTTGGGACATGGAACGTCACCTCGCTGGCGGGGAAGGAGCCGGAGCTTGTGGCAGAGGTTGAGCGGTACCGGCTAGATATAGTCGGACTCACCTCGACACATTGCATTGGCTCTGGAACCCGAGACCTGGAGAGGGGTTGGACACTCTACTTTGCTGGAGTTGCTCCGGGTGAGAGGCGGAGGGCTGGGGTTGGCTTTTTGTTAGCCCCGAGACTCTCTGCCTGTGTGTTGGGGTTTACCCCTGGGGACAAGAGGGTAGCTTCCTTGCGCCTTCGGGTCGGGGAACGGGTCCTGACTGTTGTTTGTGCTTATGGGCCAAATATCAGTTCAGAGTACCCACCCTTTTTGGAGTCCCTGGGACGAGTGCTATATAGTGCTCCATCAGGGGACTCCATTGTCCTGCTGGGGGACTTCAATGCTCACGTGGGCAATGACAGCTTGACCTGGAGGGGTGTGATTGGGAGGAACGGCCCACCTAATCTGAACTCGAGTGGTGTTTTGTTATTGGACTTGTGCAAGCCGCAGTTTGGCCATAACGAACACCATGTTCGAACATAAGGATGCCCACCGGTACACTTGGTACCAGGGCAGCCTAGGTCACAGGTCGATGATAGATTTTGTAGTCGTATCATCTGACCTGCGGCCGTATGTTTTGGACACCCGAGTGAAGAGAGGGGCGGAGCTGTCAACTGATCACCACCTGGTGGTGAGTTGGATCAGATGGCAAGGGAACATGCCGCGTAGACCTGGCAGACCCAAACGCATAGTGAGGGTCTGCTGGGAACGCCTGGCAGAAGAACCTGTCAAGACGGTCTTCAACTCCCACCTCCGGCAGAGCTTTGACCACGTCCCGAGAGCAGTGGGGGACATTGAGTCCGAGTGGGCCTTGTTCCACTCTGCGATTGTCGAGGCGGCTGTTGCTAGCTGTGGTCGTAAGATGGCCGGTGCCAGTCGTGGTGGCAACCCCGTACCCGCTGGTGGACACCAGAGGTTCGGGGAGCCGTCAGGCTGAAGAAGGAGGCCTACAGGGCGTGGCTGGTCTGTGGGTCTCCGGAGGCAGCAGACAGGTACCGGATAGCCAAGCGGGGTGCAGCAGTGGCAGTTGCCGAGGCAAAATCTCGGGAGTAAAGGTTAGCGATAACTGAAATTAACCTAAACCAAAAACAAAAAATAAATAAATAAAATAAAACTTTAGTTTGGAAAGTGTAATCTATGAAAGTGTCACAATAGGGACATCGGTACATTACACTCTTATTGTCATCCATTTTCCAGGAACTTTAGTGTGATGTTTGCAAGTTCAGATTTGATGATTAGATTATCTTTTTTCTAGTTTTCAGTAAAACCAATGCTGAAATTCAGAGAACTCTTAGGTCAATCTAAGGTCATTCTGTGTATGTTGGTTTTGATTTATCATGCACCATCTTGCCTTTTGACAGGAAAGAAACAGAGCAATCATGTCACATCTGCACCAGTCATTTAAAATGGAGCCATTTGTTAGGGTTAGATTGGTGGCCACTAATGTTTGCAGATCCCAAAGAAATGATCTGTTTATTTGGCTGTTTAGTTTGAACCCACTTATTTTAATTGACTTTTTCTCATGTTTGATTAAATCTTGGCTTTTATAATGCAAGCTTAACTATATGTTTTTATTAGTCGTAGTTCATTTAAATTTATATGAACAATTTATATTTCATATTTTTTGCATCACTAAAATGCCCAATGGGAGAACACTTTGACGCGACTACTGCAAGGTATGTTTCCAGACATTTTTTGTGAGTGGAACAGTAACTCTTTAGGTTTACCGAGTATTTATTATTTTAAGTAAGAAGAGGAGCCAGTGGCAACGTTTCTGACATAGTCAACGCCTTATTTGATTAATAGCTTTATTTTAAACTTATCTAAAATAGTAAAGAAAGAAAGAAAGAAAGAAAGAAAGAAAGAAAGAAAGAAAGAAAGAAAGAAAGAAAGAATGAATGAAAGAGACGTAGCTAGCTACCAAGGGAATGTAAAAATCACATGACAAGTTTCAACCCGAACATGTAGGAGGTGGCGCATGTCTTCATTGCTGCATTTACTGAACTGTAGTTTTTAATAATTTAAATACTACTCACATATAAATAACGTAGAAGAACCAATAAAATAATACGTGAATCTATATGCACAGTAAACCACATAGTAAGAATAAGGGAAGATGTTCAATCTTTACATTTTTGTTTATGTTTCTGGCAGCAGGGTGACGTTGTAGTCTAAAGTACGACGTTACGGGATGTTCATGAAGGTATCACGCTATACCACTGAAAATTCATTCATCATTAACAGTTATCAACAAGCTAGCTTTTACATTTACTCTTTAAACCAGGAGTTATGCAACATTTTAATGGTTTGTATAGTAACTTGTAAGCAAATAATATTCTTTATATTGTTATGATTTGAGCAGGTGATATCTAAGCTGGTAATAACGTGTCGTGTTATGGGAAAGACAGTGAGGTCAGGCGATCGGTGGACCGTCAACAACGATGTGAAAGGACTGCTACCGCTCTGACAGCTGTCTGACCATATTATAGCACCGGTAAGAACGATAGTCTTTAAAATAGGGGCAAGAAGCTTATTTTTGTAGGAGGAGTCTGGTCTGCATGGATGTTCGTACAAACATGGCCGATCAGGTAACTAAAGCTAACGAGATCCAGTGTCAGCAATGCCGTTAAGTGGCTTTCATGCGTTAGCTTAAAGCTAACACAATCGTGCCAACTGATGGGCGCTGTCGTGTTCATAATGGCATTTCACTATATTACGTCTGACGTTATAAACCATTTAAGTTACGACACGAAGCTTTATTGATGAAAGGTACGACACGAAGCTTTATTGATGAAAGGTTGTTTATGTATTATGAATGCGCTTTTAAATTGAGTATGGGGCTGTCCCTCTCCACACACTCCCCTAGCTGTCGCGTAATGATGGCAGTGCTACGCTACTTGGAGAGCGACAGGTCTAACTGCTCTGTTTGTTTACATATTTTTGCAGATCAACTTAAATCATGCCTGGAAAACTGAAGGCCAAAATTGTGGCAGGGCGCCACTTGCCTGTCATGGACAGAGCCAGTGACCTAACGGATGCCTTTGTAGAGGTAAGGGGATCATTTAACAACACTGAGTTGATAACAAATATGATAATCAGAAAAACGGGTGTCCTAAACTTTAGACAGATTTAGTTTCATGATGTTTCCAGTTTTTGGATTGAAGGTAAGCTATTTTGGGACCTGAAAGAGTTGAATGAAAATGTTTTGCTGGTTTTTGGTGAAATAAACAAAATATTCTTTAAAAGACATGATTTGGATAGCAGTGTGTGGTGTCTAAGGTAAGTAGAGTAATCAACTCTTGACTAATTAGCACATAGCAACTCAGAGTGATTACAAAAGCTAGTTTACTGTGACTGTTTATGTATCATTCTACATACAAAGGCTGTTTCTTTTCAGGTGAAGTTTGGAAACACAACCTTCAAAACAGATGTTTGTCCTAAATCCCTTAATCCACAGTGGAACTCTGAATGGTTCAAATTTGAGGTAAAATTACTTTTACTCCTTTTTAAGCTAAAGAAGTGGCTGTTTTATTTACTAGGCTATTAAACGTATACAAATTTTCGTCTAACTTATCATTTATTTCTGTCTAGGTTGATGATGAAGACTTGCAGGATGAGCCTTTGCAGATCACAGTATTGGACCACGATACTTACAGCGCCAACGATGCCATAGGAAAAGTTTATATTGACATCGATCCTTTACTGTGTACTGAAGCGGCCTCTATCATCTCTGGCTGGTTCCCTATCTACGATACCATCCATGGTACAAGATTCACCTTGCATCATTACGATAAAATCCTTCATCTGTTTTTATTTCTTATTGACATGACTTACTTTGCTTTCCATCAGGTATCCGCGGAGAGATAAATGTCCTCGTAAAAGTGGAGCTCTTCAACGATCTGAACCGCTTCAGACAATCATCATGCGGGGTCAAATTCTTCTGCAGTATGTCTGATCTGACTTTTACTTCTCAGTGCACCCTAATTAGCCTTAAATGTTGCAGTTGCATACAAAGCAATTCACAGGTAATGTGAAATATTAAGACACTAAGATTTTTGGCACGATCTCAAGTGCATCAAGTAAAAACATAATTTTCATACTTGGTAAGGATGAATGTTTTTTCAGGGCCTTCATTACGTCTGTAAACCAGGAAGTGGCTATTAACAAAGTGTCTTAAATATCTTTTATTATCTTATTGTCTCAATTTCACTTGCAGCTACATCAATTCCATACAGCTATCGGGCAGTGATGGTGCATGGGTTTGTAGAGGAACTGGTGGTGAATGAAGACCCAGAGTACCAGTGGATAGACCGTATAAGAACCCCTCGTGCATCCAATGAAGCTCGCCAGAGACTCATTTCTCTGATGTCTGGTAAAAAAAATAAATTCTATGTTTTTCCCTTGGATCTGGAATAATGTCTCATGTTAACATCACTCTTCTTACTCTTTGTTTAGGAGAACTACAGAGGAAAATAGGGCTTAAGGTCTTGGAGATGGGTGGGAACGCTGTGGTGGGTTACTTGCAATGTTTCGATCTGGAGGGAGAGTCGGGTCTGGTGGTCCGGGCCATAGGTACCGCCTGCACTTTGGAAAAATTCAGCTCTGGGAGCGCCTCGATTACCTGTCCACACCCGAGCACGGCCCCTCCTTCCAACGCCTGCAATTCTCCTAAAGATGGAAAGGAGTGAGTATGAACCAAAAACATGAGCATGAACATGACCTTTTTAATGTGCAAGTAAAGTTTGTGGGAATGCAGAAGAGCGGTGTGTGCATGAGACGGAGAGCGTGCACATGAGGTCTACTGTTAATCTGTTTTAATCCAGCCATTATTCCTGTGTGTGTCTCAGTACAGTTTTATTAGTTTATGTCTGTTGTGTATTGCAGCATGAAACTAACAACACATTACATACCCTGAGACACACACATACAGCACACACAGATCCATCGCTCTGCTCCTTTTAACCACTTGTGCACGACTTACTGCTCTGCCTCTGCATGTTTTATTGCGTTTTGCTGTAATGTATATGTTGCATGTGCTCTTGCTCTGCTTCTAAACCCTTTGTAGCCGATTGGTGAAATCTCCTAGTATTGTTGGCACCACTGCAGCTGAGTGCTTGGTAGCTTCTGATTTGCATCTATGTTGAAAAGAAATGAATCAGGGATGAAAGCTTTCAACTAAACATTGTGTAGTAAATGAATTTAGTTTCTAACGAGGTGGGAAATCAGTAATATCGCATCTTCCGCTTAAAATGAGAAATTTCTTCTTTATTTGTCAACTTGGCTGCAGATTTGTAGTGTTCCAGATTTAAGGCAACGTATTTCAGAGTAAACGTGTCTCTGTTGTTTTCATCCCTGCTGTGTCTATCTGAGATATTGTGCTGAGTGTTGTGCACATAGTCCCTGTTGTCTTTGCATGACTTAAAGTAAAACAATAGAGCAAAAAGCGGGCGCCAAAGTAAGCTCTCTTTTTGCTTTTCATTTCCTTTTTGCCTCGTTTGTTTCCCACTCTACTGCAATGTTGTGTTGTTTCTGCGTGCATCTTTCTTTCTCTCTGCCTACATTCGGATTGGGACATTTCTCACTTATGTCCAAACCGGTCCTGCGTCTCCCCTCTCTCTCTCTCTCTCTCTCTCGCTCGCTCTCGCTCTCGCTCTCGCTCTCTCGCTCTCGCTCTCGCTCTCTCTCTCGCTCTCTCTCTCTCTGTGTGTGTGCTGATTGGCCCAGGTCTCCCCTTGCCCATGGATGTCGCTCCACCCACAACAGCCCAGTGCATTCAGCCTGCAGCTCCCAGAGACTGTCCCAGAACTTCTCTGTCTCTGTCCCCACACTCATCTTCACTGGTACGCAGAGGCAGGGAAGGAAATCAGTTCTCAGCAACAAATGCAAAAAATTGAAATGCAAAGCCGTAGTGGTGATGAGTTAAGAGAAGGTAGTTTATTTGTGTTTGATGTCTAGTGCAAAAAAAAAACAAAGGTAAGGGAGAATCTTGTGGCCCTTTCAGGAGCTTTTGCAGTTGTTAAATGGTGGACAGTCAGACTCTTCCCCTCCACGTTTCTGCAGATTAGCGTGCATCTCTCTACGTCCACCTGACCTTGCCTCACTCTGATGGGACACATGCTTCAGCTTGTCATCCTCTGTTGAGTCCCCCCCCACCCCCCACCCCCCCCCCCACACACACTTTGCTTTAAACCTTTTTGTGTGTGCATTCACTTTTTTCTCGTGAGTTTTCTTCGCCTCCCTCGCTTGCCTTCTCCCTTCCCAGCCATCCGTAGCACATTAGACACGTCACACTCAAGGTTAAACACTCACCTTCCCACTGAGGAGCAACATTACACACACACACAGACACTCAGAGAGTGAGTTTGTGACTGACGTGTGTGTGTGTGTGTGCATGTGTATGTGTGTTTGTGTGTCATGTTCTCCTGGCAGGCTGGTATTTGGTGAGGAGCTGCCCTTGTCTTCCGGCCCGCCTACCCCTTTCAGAGCCCTTCCCTCCTCCTCTTCCTCTCCTCCCCCCTTCTCTCCCTCCAAGCCATGCAGCCGCCAGTCCTCATCATCAGACACAGACCTCAGTTTGACGCCCAAGACGGGTAAGAAAACTGCACCCTCCACCCCACCTCGCCATTCTCAACGCCTCCCTACTCCTCACATCACTTTCTGTGGTTTAAAATTAATTTAGTTTTTAATTATTATATTTTTTTCAAGCTTGATTTTAAGATTTTGTTGTGAATGAAGTTTTGACCCCCTCCCCTCCCCCATCCCATTTGTCCCCAGTGGTCTGGTGTGTGTGTGTTTTTTTTTTTTCAGATTAAGATTAAAAACAAACTATAAAAAGTACTTTGTAATGTGTAGATGCACCAGATCTCTGTTTGCACTTCCCCTTTTCTGTTTTTGTTAGAAGCACTGTGTCTCAAGAGGGGGCTGTTTGCTCCAAGGTCAGACTCTTATTAGTACTCACTTAAGAAAATGGTAAGTTTATCACAGCCCAGTGACGAAACCCTCAACTGCCTTCCAGATTAAATCGATAGTCCATCAGCCTTCATTCCTTCCCTTTCCTCCCTATTCCTGTAATTTCTCTTCTTCTCTCTGTCAGCATTTCCCATTTTATATTTCCTCTCTCAGGATAGTCTCAAAAATACTTGCATAGCTGAATTTTATGTTACTTTATTTATAATCCAGAGTAATAGTTGATTAGAGTGCCGAGCTAAGTTTGTGCTGGAAAGAACTGGTCTGAAAATGACCGGTATTAAAATAGCTGCCAATTCTTATCAAACTTACTTTTTAAGATGAAGGTAAATGTTTGTCTAGGTGGCAAAAATGTTGTTTTTACGTTCAAATCATAGGATAAAAGATTAAAGAATATCATGCCCAACTAGGGCTGGGCGATATGACCTAAAAATCGATATCACAGTATATTGAGGATTTCACCTCGATAATGAGCTTTTGTTTTTTTATGTGCAAAAAACAAAAGTTATCCACTAGATGGGGCTGTCATGTGTATTACGGTATTACGTTGAGTCACATTGTCACGTGATTCGAGATGGTACAGGTTCTTAAAGGGACACAAACGTTACCAACCTGCACACATCTTTTCATTTTTTTCTTTTCATCAAATTTATCGACATGGAAAAACGACTTAGTCAGAAATTTTGATAACGATAAATTTTTGATTTATCGCCCAGTCCTGTGTTCCCTTATGCTTTACCTGCTAGGCCACACGTAGGGCTGGGCATACGGCCTAAAGTCAATATCACGGTATATTGAGGATTTCACTTTGATAACGATATGTGGACTATAGCTACAGGTATGCGCAGAGACAAAAATTGTCCACTAGATGGGGCTGTCACATGTATTACGTTGAGTCACATTTTTACGTGCCTCAAGGTGGTACAGCTCTTAAAGGGACATGGATGTTGTCAACCTACACACATCTATTCATTTTGTTGTTATTAAATTTATTGACATGGGAAAAATTATCACGATAAGAGTCAGAAATTTTGATAACGATAAACTTTCGATATATTACCCAGCCCTAGCCACACGTAATTGGAGTATTTACCATAACTATAAATGAACATTTTAATTATTTTTGAAAAGACTTACAAGTAAATTACAATTTTCACCTGGCTTCCTATAACTTCTGTCAAAAATAAAGATGTGTGTGAGTTTGTTTATATATCATGAACATCCATGCACCTTCCTGCCTCCACAAGGAGTGAATCTGATCATAATCCTGTCATTTTAGCACACGCTGGTTCACCGGTTTAAATGTGGCAAGGCAAGGCAGCTTTGTTTATAGAGCGCATTTCAAACACAGAGGCAATTCAGTGTGCTTTAGAATTATCAGGACATGATATGAAAACAACATAAAAACACAAATTAAAACACACCCAAATGGAACTGCAGTTTAGAGCTAAAGGAGAAGACAAAGTTACAGCGCAGATTAAAGCTCTGTCAGAAGATGTCTGTCTTAATTAAATTCTTAAATTATTCATCTAAGCTGCCTTTTTTTTTTTTGGTGAAGACGTAATAAATGATTTGGAGCCGTCTTTCTTTATTGAATATGACAGAAAAATGCATTTATCGCCCACTCGTATTTGACCTTAATGCATTAGAAAGTTCAAATTACAAATTCGAAAATTCTCACATAAATGTATGGGTCAAACTGTTTCCTCGATTTGCTCTTTTTATTACTCCTATCTCAACCTTTTTGACTTATAGAAGTAATAAGCAGAATAAACGATGATGACCTGTCTCCGGGTTGAGAAAGGTAACTGATAAGTTATAGGAATGAATCACTTTAGGATTTGAAGTCTGTTGCATTGAAAACAGACACATTTAGTTTATAATTCTGGCTGATCTTTGTGTCAGGGATCCCAGTCCTAATTAGAACATCTCTACCTTGCAGTATTTGCTCTTATTGTCCTTGTTGCACTCTAGTCATCCCTTTCTGCTGTGCTTCTGCCCTCTCTCCTCATTGCTCTCTGTTCATTTTCACTGTATCTCTTTTTCTCTGTGCACCCTCCATCTTGTTTTCTCTGCTGGATAGAGGAGCCCCTGTCAGTGAGACGCAGACCGGGGATCTTCCTCTGCCCCAGCTCCCCCATCCTCTCTGCAGACACACTGTCACTTCCTGGTTCGGGCCCAGCGGGCTGTGGTCACGGCTCTGCCCACAGAGCAACCACCCCGGCCCTTCCTTTCTCCACCCAATCAGACTCTGCCTTGCTGAGAAAGAGTGTGTCCTTCACTGAGGACCTGCTGCTGGCAGCCTCTGGTATAGTAGGACTGCTGTGTGCCACCAAGTAACAGAATCTTATTAAACACCGGATCAGCAGCAGAGCAGCTCACACCCAGAGCCTCGTGTCATCAGAAGCAACTCAGTATGAGTGGTAAAACCACCCAGAACACACTGACAAACAACCACATTGGTTAAATCTTTCTATTTTCCACAACAACGTGTGGCTTGAGACTCGAGACAAGGAAACAGTTAGCGTAAGCTAGTGTCGGGATGAGGATTGATCAGGTTTTAAAAAAACTAAAGATCAGAATTTCTTAAACATGATTTTTCACAAAATCATTGTCATAAATATATTTAGATTTGTTTCATTCATTGTGCCAAGCTGAAGCCAGTTTGTTTCCTTGTGATCAGGAATGGGGAGTGGGGGCAGCGCTGGGAAGGAGGCGGGGCCTCTGAAGACCCTGCTGAGACAGCAGACACAGACCACTCTTGAGCAGAGGGTACGGCAACACTGAACACTCTCTTTCTCTCACAAGTCTAAAGAGTCATTTCTTACCTCGTGCTGGGGTTGCATGGTGATAAGTTTCCCTAGCTATTTTAAAATGGATCACAACGTTGCTTTAAACACATTGAATAACCTGTTCATGGTATAGCTACATTAAATAACCCACAAATGTCCGTAAAGACAAAAATCTGGGAAATAAGAACAACCAGTACCACTTTGCAATAATGCACCCCTTAAAAATGACTAATAAATATTAATTAATCCATTAACCTTATAAATATTAACGCATACGTATTATGCAATAATTAAGGAGGAAAATTATCATTTTTTTGCAAAATAGATGAATCTGTTTCTCGCCTTTATTTAATGTATAATAAATATTAACGGTTTATGAAGTGTTATGGATTCATTAAAAAATATTTTGTGGGGAGCCTTCTTAGAGCAGCATGTTTCAGGCCCCACACACAAAATGGGCCACACTCTAGATCTTGTTTTCTCTTTGGGACTAAAAATCAATCATTTGCATGTTGAAGAGGTTCATGTGAGTGACCACAGCTGCATTTTCTTTAATGTCCCATCTAATGTTGAATCTGTCCCTCACAACCTAAAATCAAAGAGAAGTATCATTAATCAGTCAGCATTGGATGGATTTTCTAGATTATTTGACAGCAGCTCAGTTCAGGGTGATGATCCAAGCTTGTTCATCCAGTCATTGGATAAACAATGCTGCAGTATCTTAGAGAAAGTAGCTCCTGTTAAGCAGGTAACTTTTTCTAGCAAGAGATAAAGTCCCTGGATTAATCAAAAACATTTACAGTCTCAGAAGGACATGCCGCAGAGCCGAGAGACGTTGGAAGTCAACTAGATTAGAAAGTCACAGGCTGCACTTTAAAGAACTGATAACATCTGTGAATGAGACAGTGAAAACTTCCAGGGCCACTTACTTTGCTCAGCTGATTGCTGTAAACAAAAATAACTCTAAAGTCCTGTTTGACACCATAAACCCGATTGTTTCTCCTCACGCCCCTCTTATACCGGTTTACTCAAGGCTTGACTGTAACAACTTTCCAGCATTCTTTGAGAATAAAATCAGAAATATCAGGGCAAGTTTTTCACCCCCATCTACTTCCTACCCCCCCATCCAACCCCCTCCCTCTCAGTCATGGTCTGTCTTTACTTCTGTAGATTTCCAGGACATTTGCCTCATTCAGAAACACAAGAAACCATGCCCTGCTGATTTCATTCCTACTACCTTGTTAATCAGGATGTTTAACCAAATTGGCCCATGCATTGTAGATTTTATTAATTTATCCCTACAGTCTGGCTCTGTGCCATCTGTTTTCAAACATGCAGTTATTGAACCTATCCTTTAAAAACCAAGTTTGGACTCATCTCAGCCTAAAAATTACAGACCCATTTCTAAATTACCCTTTATCTCTAAAATATTGGAAAAGGTTGTGTCAGATTAACTGACTACTTTTCTGGAACTACACAACAGTTTAGATAAATTCCAGTCTGGTTTTCGTAAAAAGCATTCAACAGAAACAGCTTTGCCTAAAGTTTCCAGTGACATCATGATGGCTGCAGACAACGGGGGATTCACAGTGTTAGTATTGTTAGATCTGTCTGCAGTTTTTGACACTGTTGATCACAGCACCTTAATTAACAGACTTTGTGACTCGGTGGGGATCTCTGGAACTGTTCTAGACTGGTTTAGATCATACCTTTCTAACAGAAGTTACAGTGTCTGTATAAACCAAATCGTGTCGGATTCTACAGATCTGTTCTGTGGGGTACCCCAAGGCTCTGTTTTGGGTCCACTGTTGTTTCTGCTCTTAGACAGATACTTGATTCTTTTCATAATGTCTCTTATCGCCTATATGCAGATGACATTCAGCTTTACTGCCTCTTTAAGGATTCTGAGTTCTATAAACTGTCTGAATTACTAGAGTGTCTACCAGCTATCACCAGCTGGCTAGACGATAACTTCCTTCAGTTAAACTCTGAAAACACTGAATGTCTGATCATTCCCCCTGAGAGCATAGTTCCTCTGGTTAGTTTAAAACTTGGTCATTTCTCCTCTGCCGTCAAGACAAACTTAAGAAATTTGGGTGTTATTTCTGACCAATCAATGTCTCTTGAAGGTCACTCAAAAACGTTGGTCCGAAACTGTTTTTATAATTTAAGAAATATCTCCAAACTGCGAAGGTTGGCATCAAAACATGAACTTGAAATGGTTATCCATGCTGTTATCTCCTCCTGTCTAGATTACTGTAACACACTCTTCACATGTTTTAACAATAAAGCCCTTGACCGCCTTCAGTTGGTCCAGAACTCTGCAGAGAGGCTCCTAACTGGAGCAAACAGAAGAGCACACATCACTCTTATTCTAATGTCTCTGCACTGGTTACCCGTTAACTTTAGAGTTCATTTTAGAATCCTGATTATAACTTTCAATGCTCTACATGGTCAAGCTCCTCCCTATATTACTCAACTGTCACAGCCTTATGCCCCAACCTGAGCCCTCAGGTCCACACACCAGAACCTTCTAGAAGTTCCAAAGACCAGATACAAAAGTCGAGGTGATCCCTCCTTCCAGGCTGTTGCACCTCAACTCTGGAATGATCTTCCTTTATCCTTACGCAGCACTGACAGTCTGGACACTTTTAAAAAACAGCTAAAGACCCTTTTATTTAAAGCTGCTTTTAACTAAACCTTTTATTTTCTTATTTTTAACTCAAATTTTTAATCTTTCATCTGTTTTTGAAAAATTATAATTTTATGCTGATGTTAATCTGATTCTGTTTTGAGAGCATTTTGATTTTATGATGTGAATCTGTATATGATTTTATGACTTTGTTTTATTTTGTTTTGATCTATGTGAAGCACTTTGTGATTTTATATGTCTGTGATAAGTGCTATTTAAATAAAATGTACTTACTTACTTATTGCAAAGTGGTACTGAAAAATCTAATAATAACTAGTCCATGCCCACCTTTTATGTGCCGTCATAAGGTTTATTATCATGCAGCAGCCATCAGAGAGGAAGGTGAAGAGTAGATGGAAGCTGTGTAAGATAAGATAAAAACATTAGGAATCTATAATAATGTTGATTTAAAAAAAACTGATGCTGCAGGGTAGGTGGGCCTCACCTTGGATGTTTGAACTGAAGCAGATCTAGCTGGATTTTAGTGGGGATTTGTACTTCTTGCATGCTCACCGCACTCCCATCTGAGATGGGATAAAGTTAAAGAGTTATTCCTCCCATAAGTGAAATTTTGTCTATTTCTGTATTCGCCAGAGTTAGATAAGTGAGAAAAAATATTTTATAACCAGCGCAGTAATTCTCCTGGTCTGGCAGCAGTCCGACTGCTTTAGCTTAGCAAAAACAATGGAAGTGAATAGCAGGAACTAGCATTTTTTTCGTGCAAAAGTGATTCAAATGACTCAATAATATCAATTATTCCTGGTGAGCCCAAAAATCATGTCGACTGCAAATAACAAGTAAAGAGTAACATGAAGGATTTCAAGGAGCAGGTTTACTTGGGACTACATTATGACAAAGCACAACTGTGTTCCGGAACACAGTTGTGAACTGCATTCTGGAACTGCGCTGCTCTGGGTGGCTGCATGTTGGAGTAGCTCTGTTGACTATATGTAAGTTTTGCCTTTTTTGGGCATTTTTTCTTCTAGTTTCTCAAGAAAAACATTTTTTTATTTATTTTACTTTTCTGTTTCTGGTGCTGTGAAGCTTAGAGGATTTTTACTGCTATTTTTTCACCTCTTAAACATTTGTTATGATGTGTAACCATGGCAACAAGCTGGTTTACAATCGGGAGCAGCTGATTAACATTGGAAAGGCTGAAATAATACCTCAACTAAAGCCACAAATCCCTAATAAGCTAAAACGCAAGAAGCATGGGTGCAGAGCAGGAGCAAAACAGAGACTGAGAAAGAGAAAATTCAAACCATCTCTTCCATCAATCATAATGGGCAAAGTGAGATCAGCGGCCAACAAGATGGATGAACTCCAAGCCCTTTCAAGGACTCAGCCAGAGTATCGGCAATGCAGTGTTATGTGTTTCACTGAGACGTGGCTGCAGGACCATATCCCCGATTCCAGCGTCTCTCTGCCAGGATTCCTGACTTTACGAGCAGACAGAGATTTGAAGAGGAGCGGGAAAAGAAAAGGAGGTGGAGTGGCAGTGCTTGTCAACAACAGATGGTGCCATCCATGTCATGTTTCAGTGAAATGTCGTCTCTGCAGCCCAGATGTTGAACTCTTGGCAGTAAGTTGTCGCCCATATTATTTGCCAAGAGAGTTCACCAGTGTTGTCTTGGCAATCGTTTATATTCCACCTTCAGCCATTGCTGAAAGTGCATGTGATTCCATCAATTCCGTTGTCACTAAGCTACAAACCCAGCACCCCAATGCATTTGTGGCTATATCTGGTTATTTTAATCATGCCTCGCTCTCTGCTACACTTCCAACATTTCATTAGTTTGTCAGCTGCTCCACCAGAGAAAACAAGACATTGGATTTGTGTTATGCAAATGTAAAGAATGCATACATGTCCAAAACTAGACCTCCTCTGGGACAATCAGATCATAATCTTGTGTTTCTCTGCTTAGAATACAAACCACTTGTTCAGAGGCAACCTGTGACAAGAACTGTGAGAAAATGGTCACAGGATGCTGAAGAAGCCCTGCAGGGTTGTTTTGAGACCACAGATTGGATGACTCTCTGTCAAGGATATGAAGAGGGCATCAATGCCATGACTGGATGTGTCACTGACTATATAAACTTCTGTGTAGACAACATCATACCCACCAGAACAGTGAGATGCTTCGCAAATAACAAACCTTGGATCACCAGTGAACTGTAGAGTCTGCTAAATGAGAAAAAAAAGAGCCTTCAAGGAGGAAGACAGGGAATTATTGAGGAGTATACAGAAGCAACTGAAGATCAAGATCAGAGACCGCAAGGAGGCATACAGGAAGAAGCTGGAGAACAAACTACAGAGGAACGATATCAGAGATGTCTGGTCAGGGATGAAGAAGACCACAGGCTTCAAGCAGAGGAAGGATTGCACAAATGGCAGCCTGGACACAGCCAATGAACTGAACAAGTTCTTCTGTAGGTTCAGTTCAGGAACAAACCCAGCATCCTCCTCGCCTGTCCCCAGCCAATCAGACATCCCATCCTCCTCTGATCCAACATTTTCCTGTCACACGCCAGCTCTTTTGTCCTCTAATGCAGTCATGGACTCTTCTGGTTTTATAAATCTGTCTTCAACCAAGTCAGGAGATGCTGCTGCCCCATTTACCTCCCCCTCCCGCCTATTTGTCTCTAGAAGTCAGGTGAAGAGGCAGCTGGAGAGACTGAACAGGAACAAGGCTGCAGGTCCAGATGGTGTCAGCCCCAGAGTACTGAAGGCCTTTGCAGAGCAGCTCTGTGGGATTCTGCAGCACCTCTTCAGCCTTGGCCTGGCCCAGGAGAAGGTTCCAGTCCTGTGGAAGACATCCTGCCTTGTTCCAGTTCCAAAGAAAACTCGCCCATCAGTCAATGACATTGTCCTGACATCCCACATCATGAAGGTCCTGGAGAGACTCCTGTTGGTCCACCTAAATAAGCAAACTAGGACATATCAGGACCCGCTGCAGTTTGCTTATCGCCATGGAGTTGGAGTTGAAGATGCCATCATCCAGCTGCTTCAACCAACCCACTGTCATCTGGACAAAGCAGGCAGCACTATGAGGGTCATGTTCTTTGTTTTCTCCAGTGCATTTAACACAATCCAGCTCGATGTACTTTGCCAGAAACTCCGGAAGACACAGGTGGGGGCCTCAACTATCGCCTGGCTTAAAGACCACCTGACAAACAGACCACAGTTTGTGAGGCTGAAGAAGTGCACATCAAACCAGGCGATCAGTAACATTGGAGCACCACAGGGGACTGTACTCTCACCATTCATTTTCACCTTGTACACCTCAGACTTCCAGTACAAATCAGAGACCTGTCATCTACAGAAATACTCAGATGACTCTGCAGTTGTCGGGTGTATCAGAGACGGACAGGAAGCTGAGTACAGAGAGCTGGTGGAGCGCTTTTTGGCATGGTGTGGAAACAATCATCTGACCTTGAACGCGAACAAAATAAAGGAGATGATTTTAGACTTCAGAAGAAACCGAGTATAGTCAAACACTGTTTCCATCATGGGAGAAGAAGTGGAGGTGGTTGAGGAATACAAATACCTTGGAGTTCACCTGGACAACAGACTGGGCTGGAGAAAGAACAGCGATGCCATTTATATGAAGGGACACAGCAGACTGCACTTCTTGAGGACGCTTAGGTCCTTCAGTGTCTGTAGCAAGATGCTGCAGATCTTCTACAAGTCTGTTGTCGAGAGTGTAATCTCTTCAGCCATCGTCTGTTGGGGTAGTAGCATCAGAAGCTGGGACCTGAAAAGGCTCAACAGCCTAATAAAAAAGGCTGGTTCTGCTCTGGGGACGACTGTGGAACCACTGAAGGAGATCATGCAAAGAAGAATTCTCCAGAGAATCAAGAAAATTATGGACAACCCTGAGCATTCTCTTCACAAGACTGTCCGACAACGGAAGAGTGTCTTCAGTCAGAGGCTTCTTCAGTTTCGCTGCAACACTGACCGCTACTGGAGATCCTTCCTGCCAACAGCCTTTGTAATATACAATAACTCTTTAATGACTTGATTATTCTTTTTATTCTGAGCTACTACAGCAATCAATTTCCCTCTGGGATTAATAAAGTATTTTTGAATTTGAATTTGAATTGTATTTGTAAGCCGCCGCTGCATAGCGCGTGTATATAACACAGCGGGCGAAGAAGTCCCAAGTCTAAATCGGCTCCTGGAAATCCTTCGTGTTACTTCTTACTTTATATTTGCAGTCAACATGATTATTGAACTCACCAGGAATAATTTGTATCATTATTGAGTAATTTTAATAACTTTTTTGCACACAAAATGCTAGTTCCTCCTATTCACTTCTATTGTTTATGCTAAGCTAAAGCAGTCGGACTGCTGCTAGACCAGGAGAATTACTGTGCTGTTTACAAAATGCTATTTTCTCATTTATCTAACTCTGGGGAATACTGAAATAGACAATTTCAATTAGGGGTGGAATATCCCTTTAATAAATTGGGGGTATATTGGCAGAAATAATGTTCTTAAAGAACTGTAAAGCAATAAAACATATTTCTGAATCCTGCAAAATTAGAAGCATTTATAAAATAAACATGACAGTTGATTCTAGACCGGGGGTCGGCAACCTGCGGCTCTGGAGCCACATGCGGCTCTTCCATCCATCTGATGCGGCTCTCTGCGCTTGTAAAATAATGAATGGATATTTAAATAAAATGCTTTATATTTTACTGCATTAATTTTACATCTGTATGCCAATTCTAAATGTAAAGATTGTCTGCGTAAACCTGAACAGTTCCAACCCGGTCTTACTGTGAGACCTGGTTGACGGGTCACGCTTGTGCGTAATCATTTAGGCGCTTTCTGAGCTGAAGAGGATGTGAGATTCTGGGATTCTCCTCAGACAGGCTCCTGGATGTGTCGCCACACTGGAGACAGGAACAAGCACTATTCAGCCAAAGTTTCATAATCAGGGAACATTTTCTAAGTGACAAGTCTTGCTTCAGTCGGAGGAATCTTCCTGCATGCGCTCTGGTTCTGCGACTTGCTCCAAGCCCCTCCACATCTTCAGCTCGCTGTGCACCGTACGTACGCACTGACAGTGAGCTGCGCTGAGCAGTGTCCAGCTCAGATGTTCATATGGGAATCTTTTCTTGAGTGATTTAGCTACATCTGCGATGTGCGAAACGAATAAAGTGTCAGTTCGTCTGCATGCGTTGGGGTAATTCTTTCTACTCTTTCTCCGTCAAAATAAACGGTCAAATATGGGAACTATCCGGTCAACACAAGCCCTGCTTTTAACTGTTCTGTTTTCTTATGAAAATTGTTGCAAAGAGATATAATTTTACTTGATTACCACCAGAGCCAGGCACACTGCACCGTTGTCTCCGTCACTGTAAATGAGGGAAAAACAAATTGATCGGATCCTTTTCTGACCTTCCCCACCTACAAAGTTTAATTACAACAATCAAATGTGACAGAGCCTGGATTTGTATTCTGAACAGTCTAAACATGTTTTAAAAAGAAACGTATGACAAAAGTGGCACCTGCTCAGTAAAACCACCAACAGGGTGAAAAATATCAAAATATTGTAGGCAGAGATGGGCTACAACTTCTGGATCCACTTTATATAAATCATTTTATTGATTATCGTCTTATGAAAGATAACTTTGACATACACGAGCGACCGGTACTGGCTGCTGTCACCTGTTGTTATTGGTTAAAGCAGCTCTCTGCTGTCTGAGGATAGGCCCCGCCCACAACGCCGCAGCTGCTGTGGCTCCCAGTGTTTTCTTTACTGTGGGAAATGGGCAATAATGGCTCTTTGATGGGAACAGGTTGCTGACCCCTGTTCTAGACTGATATTCTGAAGAAAGGTTAAAGTTCTCAAAAATACCGTCCAACGTTACTTATAGCGCCCCCAATGGGTTTCCAGGGTCAACTCTGCAAAACCGCTGCCCCCTCTTAATTTTTTGAAGAGGCACAGAATATTGTGCTCTATGATCATGTAAACACCAAAACTACTAAAAAATAGAGTATACTCACTTTCTAAATCAGGAAAAATTTGCGTGTTTCTAGAATTTTCTGTTCTTTTGCAATCTGTTGTCAAAGTGTGCGATTTGCGCCTCACTTTAGGCATAGCGGCCCAAAACGATCTCCTAATTCATGGATTGTCTGTTTCATGATCATGTGACGTGTGACACACGTGAAAATCAACTTTACAGGCATGATGTTTACTCTCAAGGTGTGTAAGCTTGATCCCATGCCCGCCACGTAAAAAAATGCAAATGGCGACTTCAGTCATCAGCGGCAGTGAATGAGTTAAAATACCTGTTTCAAATGCTGTCATTTTTCTGAAGTGTTTGTTTCTCAAATTTGAGGTAAATGCATTTGATGTATTTGATGCAGTGCATTGACACCGACTAAACACTCTGAGTTACTGCAAGGACCAAAATGGTGGGCCACCTCCAAATTTTTACTGGCTTCATCTGGCCCCCATATTTGGGGCGCGCCACTTTCTTCAACTTTCAAGTGACCTGCATTTCTGCAAGCCAAGCATGACCTATTAAACACTTGATGTTTTGACATTCAGTTTGTGTTGCAAATGGGCCTCGTATAAGTGCTGCTTCACACAACTACATCTTTTGCGACAGTTTTTCTAATTTTTACCAATGGGGTATGAGTGGGTACGGGTCCATGGACGACCCCAAGTAATGTTCCATTTTCTGTCCTCTTGACCATTTGTGCTACTCAGGGAGCGTCTTCCTCCGGGTTGTTGTTAAACGCCAGGGTATGTCCCATCTGTGTGATGCTCTTTCTCTCCACACCTCTCCCTTCCAACACCCTGATCAAGATGATGGCTGCCACTCAGTTTCAGCCAACTCCTAACCTGAGCTTCATCTGCTGTTTGTAGATCTCAGAGGGGCAGATGTGGGTGGAGCAACATGACAGATTGTTCATTTTCCCGCTGCTGCTCCCTGATAGAGTTACAAGCACATTGGGGCAGAGGGCCAGAAGCTAGGAGTTGTGTTCTCTTCAAACCTGAAGGGGTGTGTGATTGTGTGTGTCCTCTTGTTGAGCACTTTCCACCTTTCTGACTACTCCTGAATCTTAGTCTGAATTCCTGTGTCAGCAACAAGAATTACCTCATCAGAATTTTTTTACCACTTTCTTTTATGGAACTCCAAAAGAAAGTGGTGTTAGTCCTGCCTGACGTCAGCTCATCAAAGCCTTTCACTTCATACCAATCTTGCATGGCCTGAAATCACAATGCTCCAGTGTTCTGCAGAGCCGATGCTGATTGGTAGTCTGAGTAATTTTAGCACCTTATTCATTTGAATGCATAGGTGTGGAGCATTTTTGACCTAATGCAGGAAATCAGCTGTCCAGTTTGTGGACAGAAAGAAGCAACTATTTCACTTTCAGCTCAAAATCTGTGGATTATCCTGGCTTCCATATAGAGATTTTAGATTTGTTATTGGAGCAAGTGCAGGATATCTATTGACAAAATTTGCATGTGTTTTTTTTCCATCTGATCACAAAGTTCTTATTGCATGTTCACACACCAGCAGTGCTGTCATCTGAAAACACAACAACGACCGGCAGATCATTTAAACCCTGAATCATAGGAAAAGTAGTACAAACATATTTTCATTTTTTTCTATTTAAACATATAAATTATCGTAAAATACTTAAAGTTTAAAACCATTGAGCTAAATTGAGAGAATACACTTAACATAGAATAACTATAACTTCAGTATTTTCTCCTCACTTCCAGAACTGACTGAGATGTTTTCTTTCACCAGGAGTTCCCGTTTTTCACCTTGACGTCCTTCCCACCTGGTTTTCTGGTTCACGTTGGCGGGGTGGTTAGCGCTCGCTCCGTCAAACTACTGGATCGCATCCACAACCCCGGTGAGTTCACAGACAGTGTCCAGTGTCCTGTGTGGGAGCATGTATGCAGTCCTCTATTGACTGGGTGTGTCCAGCGTGAGTGTCTGGTGGTGTGATAGCCATTGCTGCCCAGTTTTCCTTTGTTCAGTTTTTGTGTTTCTCTTGTTTGATTGTTCAAGATTTAAAATGTAGAAAAGAAAAGTTAACAAGCAGGTGAAAGCTGCTCCTGCATCCATGTCTGCAGTTTGGTGATAAAAAGTGTGAGGATGGGCTTGTTCCACACAGTTTTTAGACTGGGGCAGCTTTCACTTTGTGGAGCTAGGATTGGGACAATATTACATGTAACTTGTTTTAAGTTTTGTAACTTGTAGCATGTTTGTAACTGTAACTTTCATTTTGTAGCATGTAATTCACGTTTTGTAACGCGTAACTTTATTCATGTTTATCATGTTTTGTAACACTTATCTGTCATTTTGTAACATGTAACTTTTGGTACGTAACATGAACATTTTTATTTTGTAACTTGCAGAAAACAAATCAATGTACAAGTATCAATTCACAACACTCAAAACACACAAAGTTGTTACGTAACAAAAGTTACATGCTACAAAACTAAAGTTACATTTTACAAAATGAGAATTATTTGTTACAAAACAAAAGTTATATTTTACAAAATGTGATTGACATGCTACAAAATGAAAGTTACAGTTACAAAACATGTTACAAAACTTGGTACAAGTTGCATGTAATATTGTCCCAATTCTAGCTTCATATCACTTCATTGTTTGACTGGAATTGTGTACATTTGTGCTGGTCAGGTGGTGTGTGTGTTTGTGTTTTGTTTTTTTTGCTGCAGGGTGTGATGGGGATTTTTTTATAATGTGCATGGCTCCAGTCTGTTGGCTGGCTGCAGGTGGCAGAATGATGGGATGTGGTGCCTTCTATGTGCTTTGTCGATATTATCAACTCGTCAATAACTAGTTTTCCATGCAGGCATGCAGCTAATGCAGTTTTTATTTATTCTGCTGATTATTTTACCATCCCGATTAAACAAAAAGAAGGGATGGTGGCCGAAAGCAGAGATTTTAAAACATCATCTTTGCTAATAATATTGTCATACTAAATGAAATACCAGTCTCAGTATTTCTCTACTGATTCTGGAAAAACATTGATTTTTTTTTATAAAGCCCCAAGGTGCTGTACATAGTGCAGATAATCATTAAAAACTCTGTAAAAGCACATTATGGTCAAATGAAAGCATAAAACATTAAAAACAATAAAAAATTATAAGCAATAGGACCAAAGAGCAATCAGGAAAAACACTAAAATAATTAATGAAACTAACTAAATGATCTAAGATGAAGCTTTAAAAATATCCAGACGTGGACTGTTTTAGATCTGATGGAAGTTGGCTTAAGAGCCAAGGACCTGTGACTGATAATGCGCGGTAAACCCTAGACTTGCGTGTTGACCATTTTGACCAAGGAACCACCAACAGGTCACTCCGAACCGAGCGTAGAGACCTAGCAGGGATATAATGGTTCACAAGTGAGTCTAAATATGGTGGTGCTGATCCAGACAGTGAGTTAAAAACAAAGGCCAGGATTTTGAACAGAATGCAACATTTTACAGGTAACCAGTTAAAGGCAGCCAGGAGGTTTTTTTTCAGTTAGATTGCCAAATCAATAGGTTGTAGGTTGTAAGCTACTAGAAAAAAATATTCTCAGTTTTAATAATTTTTAGGTAATAAATTAAAGGAAATTGTCTCTTTTACTTCACTTTTTAGCACATTTTCATTATCTTAATGTTTTTTTTGTCTACCCAGTTTAAATATTTTGTTAAATTATTTGGCAATTCAATTAAATAAATATTAAAATGTATTCCATTTCAGAGCAAACCGTAGCAGAGTTGGCGGGTGTGATTCTCCACGTTTATGTGGAAGCTTCCCCTACGGTGGCGGGGAGTTTGCGAGCTTTTTAGACTGAACACAGAAGAAAATCCTCTGAGCACATCAGTAACCATGGCCAGGGTTAAATGAACATTGCATGTTCTTTTTGGTATTATAAAACTCCCCTTATTGTTCATTCTTAGGCTTTTTAGGGAGTCCTTTATGCTTTGTAACATCTCTATTCTCCTCCTTTCCTCATCAGTCCTCTCTGCGATTGTTTTATCGTCCTGACTGTAGTTTGTCTTCTCATAGTGACTGTGGAGTGCTGTTGTTGTGCTGTGCTTGTTTGTTTCTTTCTTTTTCTCTCTCTTTTCTGTACTAACGGTGTGTTCTGGCCCAGCCTTGGGTAACGCGCGCTCATACAAACTGCTAGACTGGAATAGTGTCACTGCAGGTATTTTCCCCCTTTTTCTGCTCTCACCCATCAGAGCGATGGCGGTTCAGTGGAGCTAAATCTAAACTTTTTACACTTAAATATATGTATGAATTCACTGAGCTGCCATCCTCCTCTTTCTGTTCTCTGTGTGTATGTGTGTGTGCTGAGCTGAGCATGCTCTGTGTCATCACCCTGCTTCATCCAACCTGGCCTGGCTGCCTTCCCCCCCACCCCCCATCTTGCTGCTTCCCAGAGCTGCAGCCCTTCGCTGACGTCGTCCCAGGGTTGTTCTTAGTGCCTCCTGAGTCAGTGGTCAAACCTGTCTAGACCAGAGGAGGTTTAGGAGGTTTGCTCTGCATCATAGAGCCACCTACTGGGCATGTGCATCCCTAACTCACTGGGCCGTATTCATACTGAGAGTGAGAGGAGAGACGAGTGATGAATGGACAGATGTATGGAGGCAGACTGATGGGGCGAGCATGTGAGGAAAATTAATCCCTCTTTTTAATTAAAAAAATATTTAATGTACTCTAGTGAATGAATATAGCCCTTCTCTAGTCATGAGTGTGCACGTTGGTGAGCCTGTGCCTGTCTGACACGCTGCTGCTGGTTTTATATGAACCCACTCTGATCATCACTCATTCTTCATCTCTATAGTTTGATCACTCACCATTTTCCCTAAATCCATTTCTTTTCCTTTGAGGCTTCCGTCAGCATGTTGGGCTCTGGCGCCACACTCTTTTGTGTTTTCCTTCAAGTCCTCTTGTGTTTACCAACCATCCCGTGTTGAGTTAAAGGGATATTATGGCCATTTTGAACTGTGTGTATATTTCCTGTTGTACATAGCCACCTGAGCAGCCTCTGTATGGGGAAGTTGATCGGACGCTGTTCTGTTTGTAATTTTTACCACTTAAAATGTCTGAAATGTTCCTCTAATTGCTCAACTTGTAGAATCTAGAGTCCTTCATACAGCGACAACACAGAGATATTTCTATTGAATCTCAAAATTTGAGAAAGTCTCAATCTGTTCAAATTGATCAAGTTTACCAAAAAGCAGATCAGGTACTCTTACCTACTTCTGTTCCAGCTAGCATGACTGTGCCTTCACAGGTACAGATCACACGTATTTCCTGTGTCCTTTCTGTGAGTGGAGCCGACTGAAAGGAGACACAGAGACGAGGACTAGCCAGGCTACTAACATCACAAACTCCTCACATTGCCTTTATCGTCTCCAAATGCTCACAAATCATTCTCTGTGTCACTTTGTTTTACAAAATGACAACCAGTTTTTGCTTGCTTTAATAAGTCATGTGACTCATAAACCACCAGGTTTTTGTGTGTGTAAACTTTACTGGTAAGTCGGAGTCGTTAGATTAGATGCAGACTCACTAGTAGTGTGTTTGAGGTTGTGACGGATGCCTAAGCCTGTTAAATATATTTTATCAAGTTAGAAAGCTGCTTTTTAAAGCTGTTTGATTCATCACTTTGTGTTTTTACAGATGAACCGGAGACTCGCGATGCCTGGTGGGAGGAGATTCGCCAGGAAATCAAATCGCACGCCAAAGCTCTCGGTTGCCACGCTGTCGTTGGGTACAGTGAGAACACGAGCATCTGGTACGCAGCGGCGCCTGCGTGAAATCAGGAAAAATGTTCTTTTTGAATGGCTGCTTCAGTCTTTGATGTCCAGAGGCCTCATTTATTAAAACTTTGAGTGGAATGCTGACTAGAGCTCTGAGAGTAATGTAGATGCACAGAAAAAATGTTATTGCCTTCGAGTTGCATGTCCTTGTTGCAGCGGTGACTCGTGGTGCAGCTGAGGAAATTGCAGCAGACATAAAAAGAAGGAAGTGGTCAGATGGAGGTAAAGAGGAAGATGGCAATAGTCATTGATACTATTCAAAATGGCTGCATTGGTGCTCAGGGTTCGCTGAGATACCCCAGATCCAAGGGGAACGTTTAATTTAACCCAAAGAGTCTTAAAGTGATGGTGTGTATTTTTCCTGGTGATCGGGGGCAGTACATACCTAAATCATTGCAAGCAAGCCTTATTTTTGTGTTCAAATAAGACCTTACCAATGGATGGCCATTAGGGTCAAAAATCCCTGGGAGTGCAACCTCCAGCAAAATGTCAAGCACATCATAAGGCAGCTTTCTAAATAAGTCCACTATTCTTTTATTTTCTTTTGATCACAGCGAAGAGGTCTGTATCCTGTCAGCTTCAGGCACAGCAGCCATCTTGAATCCTCGCTACATGCGTGAAGGCTGCCTGGACGTTGGAAGCATCGACCACAGGTTGATTAGATTTCTTGCACATTTTAAAAATTGAATTCTGTTTCATCTCAGAGTTTGATGCAATAAGAGTCGGGTTCGTTGCACAGGTTTGATGATCCTTCACCTCCCAACTGTGGCTTCTGTCACATCCCATACGACGAGCTCAACATGCCGTTTCCTGCCCAGCTCGCGTATTGTTACCAGTGCAGACGGCAAAAGGTTGTTAGCTTAAGAATTGGTTAAAACATGTTTGTTTTATATTTTTCTCTTCTTGGTCACAAGTTTAAAACAACAGCCATATTCTTTCAAGGTTCCTGATGTGCTTTTCACAACAATCGATCTGCCAGCAGAAGCAGCTGTCACAGGAAAAGGCTGCCTCATTCAGGCCAGGTAGAAACACTTCAGGAAATATACAAATAGCCTCCTTAGTCAACTTAGACTTTGAAAAATACCAAATTCTCACGATTGCTTTCTTCTAGATTGTGTCGTCTGAAGAAGAAAGCCCAGGGAGAAGTGAATGCAACGGCCATTTCGAACCTGTTGCCTTTCATGGAATACGAGCTGCACACTCAGCTGATGAATAAGCTGAAACTACGGAGCATGAACGCTCTCTTTGGACTCCACATACAGATCAGTGTTGGAGAAAACATGCTCCTGGGATTAGCTGTAGGTCCATATTTTAGAAAACACAAAAGAAAAACTTTTTGTGTCTTCTAAAAAGTGTGTGTGTGTGTGTGTGTGTGTGTGTGTGTGTGTGTGTGTGTGTGTGTGTGTGTGTGTGTGTGTGTGTGTGTGTGTGTGTGTGTGTGTTTTCAGTCGGCCACAGGAGTGTACCTGACTGCTCTGCCAGCACCAGGAGGGATACAGATTGCTGGGAAGACTCCCGGCGACCTGAACAATGAGCAGCATGTTGCAGCTATCCAGAAAAGAATCAACGATGCCATCGCCAAGAACAAAGAGCTCTACCAAATAAACCCTCCGGTGAGAAACACAACTCTGGGTTTTACAGGAAATAAGATGGTGGAACGTGTGTTTTGTGATCGTGTCTGGTCTCCTTTGGCTCTGTTGTAAAGGAAAGGTACAAAAATGCTTCAGCACAATAGGTGCCAGTGGGGAGGGTTGTTTTTAGTCCAGAGATGATGATAAAAATCAATGCTTTCTTACAAAACAAGTATATTAAATATTTTTACTTTGCCATTATTTACCTCCAGATATGCACAAGGACAGTGAAATGAGAGCAGGCTCATTTGTTTTGATACATTGAGTGCAGTACTCACATTTGACCACAGGATGTCACTCTAGCTTCATGCTCCTTTTAAACAGTAACACAAACAGTCCAAATGACAAGTTATTTAAATTAGTTGGATCTGGAAATCATTTCAAGCTTGTGTAGAGTTGGATTTTAGTATAAAGAGAGGGGTTTGCTTGAATAAACACCATCTTCTGTCTTCTTTTTAATTGCTAAAAACTATTTTTAAATGAGAAGAAAGGCAGCAAGCTACAGCCAAAATGTCAAAGATTTCTGCAGCTTCCCTCCAGAAAAAAATGTCATTAAACTGCTGTCTGTGCTCCGGACATTTTTTTTTTTAATCGAGGTAAATCTACTTCCTCTTGTCTCTTTCTGAAAGAAATTATTTGCCCTGGACCCAGAGGTGTTCTGCGGCACCACCATGGTACTGAGCATGACAGATATTAGCTGGGAGACGCAGCAAAGCATGGCAGATACTTCACATCATTAATCGCAATAATTGACCAACTTTGCTGTAACTGTGTGACGGCTCTTAACCCCAGACTTGTGAGCGACGTGATGCATAACTCACACCAAGTCCGTGTGACGTGTTGTAGTTTAACCCAGTTCCATCTCTGTATTTTTTTTTATTTGTGTGTGTTTGTGTCGGTAAAGCAGCACAGAGTGAATGTGGGCATCTAGAGTTACTAACATAGTCAGTATGTTAGTTGATATGTTAATAATCCAGCGTTCACTCATGTTCCTTTGCTCGCAGGAGCTGACAGACGAAGGAGTGGGTTCCCCGATCCCCGAGCCGAGGCAGCGATCCAGAATTTTCCGCTCCCACTCAGAAAGCTCTGATGAACTCTCTGAACTCGATCTATCACACGGCAAAAAGGACGCCTTCGTCCTGGAGGTGTCTACAAACACGTGCACACCAGTTCACCTCTTTGCATGAGTCACAATAATAATCAGCTGTCTTCCTCGCAGATTGATGACACCGACGCTGTGGAGGACATCCACTCTCTCCTCACTGATGCACCTCCACCTGCAGGTTTCTGCAACGCTCCTGCCCCCCTACCCCATAAGGGCTTAAAGCTCCAGCTGTTTGCATTTCTGTGCTCTCTTTGTTTTGTTTGCAGGTTTCCACAGCTGCAGCACTGAGACCATGCCTGGGATTTATAACTGGACGTCAGGAATACAGGTACACCTGCAATTTAAATATGCAGACACCCTGCTAGTTATGAGGGTTTTCACCATCACCTCACATGTGTTACAGATGTTTACATCAGTCAGGGTTCTTAGGTTGAACAATACCAATCTAACCAATCAAGGCCTTAACAAGATCTTCACTGACCTTTGTGAGAACCTGCTTAAGGTAAACTACCTTCATTTGTTCATCTTTATGGTCACACATGTTTTTTTATTGAACTCCCGGCTACTCTCGTGGTTTTCAGAGTTTCTACTTCAAGTTGCGCTCCACAGTTCCCTGCTGTCTTTGTCATCTTAACTTCACGGTAGCAGTGCCGGAGGAAGAGCTGGTTCAGGTGAGAGACTTTAGGCCATCTCTGGTTTACCAGTGCAGCATATCTGTTAGTAGAAGACTCATTGTTGTCCTGTCAGGTCTCTGTGACGGCAGTTGCCATGACTTTTGATAAGGACCAGAATCAGGAGAAGCCACCAGAGAAGGCCACCACTAAAGGTTTGTTTCCATGTTTGTTTTCTAACTGCATCAGAGGGTTGTGACTGGCGCCATGTTCACTGTGAATCTGTTCAGGTGGGAGCGAGACTGAAGACCAGCTGCAGTTTCCTCTGGAGTTGAGCGCCGACTCTTCGTCTACCAGCCCTCAGCCATCTAAAATCTCAGGTATTATTTAATCATTTATATTTTCTCCCCCTCCTCCTCCACCCTGCTTCAGTAACGGACATAGCCCGTCTCCTCCACTAACACCTCAAGGACAGTCTCTTTATTTACCCCAGCAGCGAAACTCTGCCAAAATCAGCTGGTTATGGTTCACTCAGCAGGTAAATGAGTAGTGGAGTGTCGTAGCTCATAGATAGGTGTTTTCTAGATAGCTGGTGTTGCAGCGTGGCTTCGTCTCCGGTGGGAAGGCGGAGGTTTGGACATGCAGGACATTTAGATGTCGGGATGATTATTAGAGCTAATTATGAACAGAGCAGGAGAACGGTTGTAAATTCTCTTTTTTTCTGCCAAGTATGAAGATAGTAGGATAAATGTGTGTGTGTGTGTGTGTGTGTGTGTGTGTGTGTGTGTGTGTGTGTGTGTGTGTGTGTGTGTGTGTGTGTAACAGGTGTCGCAGAGAATACCATTGTCTCAACTAGAGGTAAGGCCCCTCCTTGTGCCCCCTGCTACCGAACTGACTACGCTGTCTTGTTTAGGTTTTTCATCCTTTTGTCTCGGACCTTAATTTCGAGTCGCTTTCGAACCTCATTCAGTTTTGTTCTTTTCTGTTCCTTTGTTTCTTTTTTTGTGTCTTGTATTTGTTTTCTTCTCTTGTTGTTCTTGCGTTTGTTTGTGCGTGCGTGCGTGTGTGTGTGATTGTGTGTGTGCGTGTGTACGTGTGTGTGTGTATTTTCTCCAGCTGTCTCCGTTGATTACGGTTCCTTTGCAGACAGATGCAGCACCTGGCTAGAGCTGCTTAGGCTGAAAGCTCACACCATAAGACGAGGATCAGTTAAGACAAGTAGGAGGACACAGTCTCTAGCACACTCTGGTGATCAAACCCACAAATACAGAACACACAGCGTCTCACACACACACACACACACACCCTTCGATGCATGCCAGTGGGGGGTGGCAAAGCATTGTAAATCGAGCACTGGCTTTTTCCTAGCTAGAGTGTGAAAGTTGACACGCAAGCCTCTTCAGAGGGCGTCACAATCAGCTGCTTGGCCTGAAAATGCCTGTACTCACAACAACAGCGATGACCAATCAGAAGGCAGTTCTCTTTTCGCAGCAATTTACCCTCTTTGCACTGACGCAGATCTGCATGTTGCAACATTTTCCTGATAATTCCTTTAATTTTGCACCACTTTTGCATCAATGAAAAACACTTAAAGTGAAAAATAATAACACACGACATGATTTGTAGATAAGAGGTGTGAATGCTGCAACGTTTCATGTCAGAATCACATTTTTGAGCACAAGCTGTTAATTATCATGGCAGAATGGGTGAGTTGTGTGTTGGCGGGGGGGGGGGGGGGGGGGGGGGGGCTTTTCTACAAGAGCTAGTGTGATTCTCAGTCCTGTGCACAGTATGTGTAAGTGTTTGGCTCTGAAGGTTCCTGGTTTGATGGATGGAAACTGCACCAGGTAACTCCGAATACCTACAACGGAGCATCTTTCACACTCTGGTTTGTGTTTGTGTTCCCAGCTCCGCTCATAGCTCTCTCTGTCCGTCTCCATGTCTTAAACCACAGTCACAAATGCCAAACGATGCCAATATTCTCTCATGCGCCTCACTATGAAAACTGTATTCACACTTGTAAACAGCTGTGCCCAGGTCTGTCTGTCTGTCTGCTGACGTCGTCTGTCTGTTTTGCCTGAGAGGCACGACACGCATGGCAGTGCACGCTTTTTAAACCATATACATTTAACAGCAATGCATTAATAGCCACACACTACTAACACATCTGCAATATAGGTGACCTCAGAAATGTTCATAGCCATGTTAATTATTTTATTTTTTTTATTTAACCTTTATTTAACCAGGATAGAGACCCATTGAGGTTAAGAACCTCTTGTACAAGGGTGTCCTGGCCAAGAGGCAGCAAAAAATACAAACAGTTACAACATAATGACAATGATAAAACACTCAATTATTAAAAGCAGTTACAAGTTACTAATGCAGTCTCTGAAGCTTTCAGTTTGGTTTAAATGCATTTAGTGAAACCTAAAATTAGTTTAAATCTGATCAAAGTTTTTTTTTAATGATTGTATTACCATTATTTTATTCTGAATTTTGGATTGGTTTCTGCACCAAATCTTTGTTTTCAGCTTCCAAAAGAAGAAAATAAACCTTAATTGCATCTTTTTGTCGACTCCCAGCTAGAGGTCGACTGCAATTCTTTTTCTATTGTTGATGCTGATATGTAGGAGACACGGTCAGCCGATGACTGATTTTCATGGCCAATATCTAGATGCTTATTTTTCTTCCTTATTTTCATACTAAATGTCACTAATAACACCAGTTGATACACATTTCTGAAGCTGAATCAGTTTTGAACTCTGAATTCCACTAATTGTTAAATCTTAACTTTGTGCACTGCTCAGTGTTAAACTCGGACACGTAAAGTGAATTCAGAGTATTTATAATGCAGATGTTATTTGTGAACATAAAAATACATTGAAATTAATTCTGCAGCAGCAACGGGCTGCCCAAGGATGCGCCTGACTTTAAGTCGTCTTTACCAGGGACAAATATTGGCCGATACCGTTGTATAAAAAAATGATAATATCAGTCTACCTCAACTCCCAACCTAAGACGCCTTTGTTCAGGTGAAATAGTTGACTGTAAAGAATTTTCATGGTAGTGAATAATTTTGAAGTTACCGTTTGTTAATAAGCGCACGCTTACTTCTGATGTGCAAATTCTAACTTGGTTGCATTTTTTTGCATGGCATTGTTTTGTTTGTGCTTCAAATTTCAAATCTGTCCTTTAATTCCAAACATGAACTCAATTAAATGTCTCAACTTCCTTCTGTTCTCTTTTCTTTTTATCACCTCCTATTTCTGTCTTTTTTCACATCCCCTTTTTGGCTCGTCCGCTCTCTCTTTATGAACTTGCAGTCTCGTCTTTGGAGCACTGCAGTCCGCTCCCCGAAGGCCGCTCGCGCTCGCTTTGCTCCAGCCGATCGTTCGGAGTGGGTTCAGTGACTATGGTGAAGATGACGCCGCTCTCCTTCCTTCCTGGGACGCGCATCATCAAATATCTTGGGATCATCAACATGTTCTTCATCAGAGAGACGACATCTTTACGGGAGGCGAGCAAGACGAGTCTGGGCAGTTGATGTGCATTTTACTCAGTTTTTAACACAAAACATGTTTATCTTCTGCAGGAAGGCGGGGTTAGTGGCTTCCTTCATTCCTTCATTGCTGAGGTGTTTGCGATGGTTCGAGCCCATGTAGCAGCTCTGGGTGGAAACGCGGTTGTGTCCTACAGCATGAAAGACTGTGTTTTAATGGAAAATCCTAACAAAAACCAGGTTACTACGCACGCACACACACACACAAACACACACACACACACACACATGCATACATGCATACATGCATAACGATTCATTTTACATATTTTATTCCTCTTCTGGAGTAAAATTGTCTCACTTTTATTTTTTTACTTGTCAGGCTCAGTGTCTCATTAATGTGAGCGGCGACGCGGTGATCTGCGTCAGGGAAACGGACCAGGAGCAAACCACAAACACTGGACAGACTTGTGGCACCATTGATGGAGCTACATGACAGTGAAACTGTCTCATTTGTGCAGGAGAAAACAGGAGAGAACTAGAAATCCAAATCTAAACAAGATAAAGTTTGCCTTAAAATTCTGTAGGCGATCCAAAGGTCCAGAGACGAAAACTTTCCTCCAAAATCTGCAAAGGAAGCAAGTGAAAGATTCTTTTATCTGCAGATACTGATGAGTCATTTCTGGTTTAAAATAGCCAAAGGAACCTTCAGAGTGTGAAGCGTCATTAAAGCCATCCATATTGGGATTTAACCACAATGCATTCGCCATCGTTTGTGTTGGGATTACACATGAGGCAGCTATTACTGATTGGTCCATCTGCAGATCATTTCATTCAAACGGCCGTGATAAAAGGGATGCATGTGTCCATAGGCAAATCATTTAACTCCTAACACCCTGTTTTGTATCATTTTTGCCATGAGGGTTGTTCGACCTGAAGGTGGGGTTTAGAGTGCCAAACGTCAAGATAGAACCCATGAGAGTTTTCTGGTTTTAATGTCTCATATGTCTGTAATCCTTCTGGAGTGGGCAACTCAAAAATTGCTGATGGGTTTAATGTAACAGATAAATGTCATTAGTGACCTGTCAGGGTTTAGTTCCAGATATGTTTCATTGGATAACGTTAAACTGTGAGGTTTGGGATTGAAGCAGCAGACCTGGCATTACCACCTCCTCCTGAAGCATCACTCTGTGTCAAATTTTTTTTTTGCCAAGCCTCTGCTGCTTTGGTGTTTAAAAAACTTCCCACTGATCTGTTTTGCACTTAGAGATATTTTAGTGTTGATGTCACCTGAAAATATATGGAGCTAGGATTGGGACAATATTACATGTAACTTGTACCAAGTTTTGTAATGGTAACTTTCATTTTGTAGCATGTCATTCACATTTTGTAAAATGTAACCTTTTGTTTGTAACAATTCTAATTTTGTAACGTGTAACTTTCGTTTTGTAACTTATAAATTTTGGTACGTAACAACTTTGTGTGTTTCGAGTGTTGTGATTTGATACTTGTACATTGACTGAAAAGTTTCATGTTACGTACCAAAAGTTTCATCCTACAAAATGACAGTCAAGTGTTACAAATCAAGAATTACGTGTTACAGAATGAAAGATATGTGTTACAAAATGTGAATTACATGCTACTTAATGAAAGTTAGTTTCAAAACAGATAAGAAGTTACAAAACTTAGTGCAAGTTACATGTTATATTGTCCCTATCCTAGCTCCATAAAAATATACTATATACTATAAATGTTTATAAGTCTGTTTATATGTCTATAATCAGATTTTTGTATTTTTGTAACATCAAAGTAATAAATCATACTGCTCTCCTTACCTGTGCAGAGAAATCACAATGATTCAGCTTGTCAGAAATTTAGAGGTACTCTTATCTATTTGTGATCAGTAGATTGTAATAATTTTCCTGTATTCGTGTCAAAAACTTGAATGTATATAGTTTAATGCTTTTGCTCTTTGACTAGCAGCATGCAGACACAAGTTTTATTGCCATATATCTGTATGCTTGCCTGTTAAGTTGTACAATAAATTCATCTCAAACCAAATATGTCTGATTTTCTTAATATAATCTGTGAACAGTTTATAAATAACATTAACAGTCATTAAAGTGTTTGTTTTGTAATTATAAAGTTGTCATTTTTTTAAGAACAAAGTAACATACTACCACCTTAAATGTTAATTAGCCAGACTGGTAATTCAGTTGCGTTCTTGGGCATAAAATAAGCCTAGAAATCAACGTTTTGACCTTAAAATAATTTTTTAAAAGTATGAAATACAACACGGAACCGCAGTTTGTAGAATTTAGGATCAAGTCATTTTCAATTTTTAGATAACTCGCACTAAGCGAGATCTCCGTTTTCTCCCTAACGGACGTGAACGCGGCACGGCCTTCAAAGGTGCAGCAGCGACATCTTTCGGTCGTTCAGTGGAAGGGCTGCGAGGCAGCTACTACGTGTCTCCCCCATCGACATTACGTTACGATCCCGCTTCCAGCTTCCTTCCTTTAAAAAAAAAGGAGCAGCGGGCAGCTCCTACCCGATCCTCCGAGCTGGTGTCAGACATGGGGGAGATCATTCAGCCTCGGCGCTTGTTCCTCTGGTGCATGGCGGTCATCTACATGGTAGCTTTTGTTTCCCTGTACGTGCAGATACCAGGTGAGACCCACTTTAAGCGCGTTAGCCTGCTAGCTTCCCGCGAACTTTATCGCTTGTGTTGTTGTTTTTTTGTGCGGAAAAGTGTGAAAAAGAAGAAACAACTGGAAACGTCTGCGTTGTGAAGCCAATTAGCTGAAAAGATGTGCACGTGATTACAAAGTTTTGTGCTCTAAACAGTAGCGGAGAGCTACAGATTTTATTCACAAGGCATCGCCCACAGGAGGAGTTTACCAGTAGAAATATTATTCCTGTCCCTGACCTGTAGTTGAGCAGAATTAATTTTTGTGCAGATCTGACACTTCCAGTTGCTCCAGATGTTCCACAGAAACAGTTGTTGAACTCAGTATGTTCATCTTGCAGCAATGTGCATGCTCTTTATGCATTCATCATGAGAAAACCGAAACTCATTAGTGTGTGTGTGTGTGTGTGTGTGTGTGTGTGTGTGTGTGTGTGTGTGTGTGTGTGTGTGTGTGTGTGTGTGTGTGTGTTCAGGTCTCTACGGAAACGATGGGCTGCTGCCTGCACGCTGGCAGCTGCGTTACACTGGGATGCCTCTGCTGGACCAGATGCTGTCCTCTCCCACCCTGCTTTGGCTCGGACCTCAGCTCGGCCTGGACACTCAGACCTCCATGGAGCTGCTGTGCCTCATCGGGGCGGCGCTGAGCCTCATTGCTACCCTGGTGGAGGCTTTCAGAGACAGCCTGGTGTTTCTCTGTCTCTGGGCCTTGTACCTGTCCATGTACCAGGTGAGTTTGAAATGGATTTTCCTCATTATTGATTTATATGCTTCACCTAAAACATTGTTTTATGTTACAGGTGGGTCAGGTTTTCCTCTACTTTCAGTGGTGAGTGTTTTCATTAACACACAATCTCTACTAACAGCAGCTGTACGCAGATTTGTCATTATAGTGATGTTTGCATCGGCAGCTGTGCGACAGGTCTCACTAATAACAGCCTTTGACCCATCAGGGACAACTTGCTTCTGGAGGCGGGGTTCCTCTGTGTCATCGTTGCACCTCTGACAATAATCAGGGGCTCCCGAGCGGTCAGAGAGCACGATCGTGTTACTTTCTGGCTGATTCGCTGGTTGCTCTTCAGGCTGATGTTTGCCTCTGGAGTTGTGAAGCTCACGTCGCGATGCCCCACCTGGTGGGGCCTCACAGGTACAGGACGGTGCAGATGTGTGTTTTTAAAGGCTGATTAAATCATCACGGTGCGGTGAATGTTTTTATTTCCTCTCCGCGTCGAACAGCGCTGACGTATCACTACGAGACCCAGTGCATCCCCACTCCTCTGGCCTGGTTTGCTCACCAGCTGCCGGTCTGGTGGCAGAAGCTGAGCGTGGTGGGAGCTTTGGTTATAGAGATTCCTGTTCCTTTTCTGTTCTTCAGCCCGCTGCGCAGGCTCAGACTGGGAGCTTTTTACATGCAAGTGAGTAGAAAAACAGTCTTGTTCTGATTTAGAAGCTTTTGAAGATTTAAAAAATTGTCCTTCATTGACCAGGTGCTGCTTCAAGTTCTCATCATTTTGTCTGGGAACTACAACTTCTTCAACCTGCTGACGCTGGTCCTCTGTCTGTCTCTTCTGGATGACCAGCACGTCCGTTTTTGGCTTTGCAAGACGGACAGAGTGGAAGACGAGAAAAACGGTACGATGATGGAGTAAATGCACAGACCTCACCTCATTTCTGTCTGGGATTTTGCTCAATCTTTAAGAAAAATGTTCCAGAATCAGACCATCAGCCTAAATGTTTAGTTTTCTGCTCAGTCTCCAAGCTGCTGTCATGGCTGAGCTTCCTGTTGGAGCTGGCTGTGTGGTCTCTCTTGATCTTCGGGACAATCAGCTGCTTCGATCTTCAGTACGATAAAACGAAGAACGTCGTCTCGTCCCATACAGGTCTGCTCATCTCCCTTCAAGACCGCGTTTCTTAGAAAGTTTGCTCGACTGTTGAGTTCGCTTTGCTTCGCTCCTGCAGCCTACACGTACCACCAGTTCAACCAGTTCCTGAAGACCGTCACCATCCCTTGTGTCTGGATCGGTGTCCTGTCTCTCACCTGGGAGATGATCACCTCTATGTTCAGGTGCGTGACATGCTTGTTTATTTTTAATTTTTTGCGTGCACGTTATAGGAGCCATGCTGATGTGTGTTTGTTTAAAGGTGTGCGTGCGTCTCTGGTTTCCTGAGGAGGTTCTGGGGGATGGTCCAGTGGTCCGTGTTCGCTGCTGCTTCTGCCTCCCTGTTTGCTGTCAGCCTGGTGGGTGCTGGAGACCTCAGGACTTCAATTCTAGCCCAAAAGATCCGTCGCCAGTCGTCACTGTATTTTCCTTCTTCCTTCCAGGTGCCGTTCACATTTATAGAGTACGACTCTAACGCCAGGTTGTGGCCCGGAGTGCGTCAGGCCTTCGAGGTGGTGGATCGGTACCAGCTGGTCAACTCGTACGGTCTGTTCAGGAGAATGACCGGAGTCGGTGGGAGGCCAGAGGTCATCATCGAAGGGAGCAACGACGCGGTCACGTGGACGGTGAGACGTAAACTTGTTACAAATGTTTTTAAGAGTTTTTTGTTTTATTACCTGTTTTGTTTTTCGTTAGGAGATTGAGTTCATGTATAAGCCGGGGAACCTGAGCGCACCTCCTCCAGTGGTGACTCCTCATCAGCCCAGGTTGGACTGGCAGATGTGGTTTGCAGCTCTGGGGCCTCACACACAAGCCCCATGGTTCACCAGCCTGATGTACCGACTGCTGCAAGGCAAAAGAGACGGTGCGTTTTACAACGTTCCATTTTTAGAACTCTGGTTTTTGTCCTTTAAATAGAAATCATCCGATCCGTAGGGAATATCCGACACTTCTCTGTTTTAATCCTCTGGAATTAGAAAGCATTCCTTGTCTGGAATGATTCAGGGTTGCACTTCCTGTTTAAAGGAAGATGGGATCAGATTTTTATTGGAGGAGGAACAAGCGAGTCTCTGAAAGTCTGCGTTTTGTCGTTGCAGTGATTGAGCTGATCCAGACGGACGTGTCCCGGTATCCGTTTCACCAGCAGCCGCCGGCCTACCTCCGGGCTCACCGCTACAGATACTGGTTTACTGAACCCAAGGCTGACGGGTCAGTGCTTTCAGGTTTCTGCTTCTGTGCTAAAACTTTAAAGCTTGTTTTGTTTCAGCGTTTCTCTACAAAAATAAGCTTGAAAAGCCTCATTCTTTATTTTTGGAAGATAATTTAAATGTGGACATCTTTTATCGCTAACCGCACATGCATGAAAACACACTTTTTGTTCTTGGCAGGTCGTATCCACAGCGATGGTGGAGGAGGGTCTATGATGAGGAATTCTATCCCATAGTGCATCTGGGCAACACCTTCCTGGACAGCATGCTCAACCAGTATGGGCTGAAGGTGAAATGAACTCATATTTGCAAAGAATTTCTAACTTTTTCACAGAAACATTTCAAAATGGCTGAAAAATCGTAAATAAAGCAATAAAATGTAGCTACAGATTTAATGTTTTCACATTTTCATAACATTTTTTCATTAACCTTTATAATAAACACAAAAAATTATGTGTATGTTCCTAATTAGTCAAAATACTTGGTTAAAACTGTTTTCTGGTTAAGAAAAATGAACAAAATAATGAAAAAGTGTCCGTTTTAATCATTTTTCCACGTCTGAAGGATAAATCTCCTCCCCGTCGTGTATCCAACACCAATGTGGCCCAGATGGTGAGATGGTTTCGCTCTCAAGTCCGAGGGGTTCCTGCCCCGATGCTCATCTGGACCCTCATCGCCTGCAGCGCCACCTTTAGTCTGATCCAGGTGTTGCTCAACAAAACAAAACGTGCACGACAGACTATGCCGGCTTGTAACGTCTCTGAAAAGGCGAGCAATCACACAGACGCTGTTGCTGACAGCTGTTCGGACCTCCGGGAGGAAACACGCGAGCAGCAGACTGAAGAGGAGGAGGAGGAGGATGGAACGAAAAGTGAAGAGGAGGTGGAGAAGAGCGATGGAGATGAGGATAGGGAAGAAGACAGGATGGAAAAAGAAGATATTTTTGATGAAAGTTTTTGAAGAAGTAAACACTAAATACCAAAGAGGTTTTGTTTTTGTACAGATTTTTTTTTCAGCCACTGCTTCACATCAACTAAAAAGTTATCAGTAATTCTGCTGTTTTCTTTCATTTTTTTAATATAAAACCTTTACTGAAGGTCAAAAGTGGGGAAATAAGATAAAAACAAGCTTTAGATGGAATAAATGTAAATGATTTGTGCTGCTTCACATTTTGATTTACGTTTGCACTTTTTCTCCACTGTAAAGGCTTTTGATGGAAAATTCAAACGAAACACCACAAAAGAAGTTGTAGAGATTTTATCATGTTTTAAACTTGATCCAAAAAATAAAATTTGATCCAAAAAAAATCTTTGAATGTTCTTTTTTACGTATAATGACTTGCCGTACCTAATGCACACATAACAAACGAGCATAAATCAATTATTTACATGGTGTTTGATTCGGTTTCACCACTTCAGGATTCCAGGACAGTATTTGTCGATCAGAGACTGATAGTATGGCTTCAGCTCATCCACGTCAGGCAGGGTGCTGGTTTTTGTGTACAAGTCAAACTTACTGTTAAGACAAATAAATAAAATAGTTAAATCTCAGGGAAACAAAAACAGGAAGGATGTAAAGGAAGAGGAAGATGCTAACTTGAACTCTTTGACCCAGGGCAGCATCTGCTTGTCTTTGTCATTACACAGGTGCATGTAATCTCCATTAGAGTGCCAGGGATAGAAGGAATGAAATCGAATCATGTACAACCCCTAAAACACACACACACTTAAGCTTATTTCTGTCTATTTGTTCAGTTAGTCCATCGATGACTCACCTCCTCTGGGATGGAGCAGCTGTTGAACTTCAAAACTCTGTAGAGATACTCTGAAAGAATGTCAACACAACTCAAAATAAAAAATAATTTTAATACAGGTTTTAATAAATAAGGAGGTGATGCCTCTTACCATCGTGACCCCATGACATGAGGACATTATCCAGGCCACAGTTTAGTTTATACATCCCAGTTTCAGAGCTAGAAAGTACAAAGTGACAAATTCAGCCAGCTGTCTCTTATTAAACGTTTAATTTTGTCCAACAGACTCTTTAATTTTTCTCCTGGGGCACGGGAAAAAGCACCCCTGAGCTACAGCTAAACAGCCAATCACATTTGGTTGCTAGGGAAAACTTAAGAATTTTTGACCAATTAGCGTCACTGAATTTAACACTTCTGGCCCTGCTACAGGAGCCAGCTAATTAGCATGATAGAAGGTGCTGGATCTCATCTACACCTGGATCTCATCTACACCTGGATCTCATCTACACCTGGATCTCATCTACACACACACACACACACACACACACACACACACACACACACACACACACACACACACACACACACACACACACAGTAATCATACATGTAGCTGTTGCAGTAAAACATGTTTATTTGTTCATATTTTATGGGATTACGATGTTCATAACTGGATTTTTATTTCATTTTACTGGTCGTGTTAGTGCCATCTACTGGTGGAGTTGAGTGTTGCACTTTGGGGTGTGCATGCTTTGAGCAGATGATTAATTGAGATTCACAGAGACTGAAAACTGTAGCTTGAAAGCAAACAAATGCCAAAATGTAAATAAGGACAAAAATGGACATTATGGACTGCAGTTGCTCAAGGTGGACATGTTAGGCTTGTGTGCTTATTTGGAGAAGAGATAAATGATTGTTATGGAATGGTAGTCATTTCCCAACGGTTCATGTGAATACTTATAAAGGACGATGGGACAAAACTTTTCACTAACAGCCCCACCAAGATGTTTTTTTTACCAGGTGTCACTGGAAAAAATGAGTGGTTATTAAAAGTGTGATCTCTTACTTGTATGTTTGGTCTTTTTCATCTGGGTTTTCCATGAAGGTGTTGTTTCTGAACACTATTGAGTCTTGAAATCTGCATCCTACTGGGAAAGTGTCACCCACCACCGCCCACTAAACACACACACACACACACACACACACACACACACACACACACACACACACACACACACACACACACACACACACACACACACGTATGCACAGCATTACAGACCGATTTATAGAAAAGTAAAAATTACAAGCTCATCTGAAAATCCTGAAATCATTTTAATGAATGGTTTCAAATCCATCTCGTACCTGAGGTTCATCCCACAGAGCCAAGATCTTCCCCACATCATGGATCAGGCCCACCAGCTGGAACCAGTCTGAGGTGATTAAGAGCTGAATAAAACGTTCTGTAATTTAAATGGCTATGATGTCATCCTTATTCCTGTTTTGCTGTGGGGTACCTTTGTCTGGGTGCTCCTGGCGAATTCCCTCAGCAGTCTGGAAGGCGTGGAAGGAGTTGGGAAAGTCAACATCAGGATCAGATTCATCCACCAGCTGGTCCAGGGACATGATGGCATCCATCATCCCCATCTGAGTGTGGTTAAACTGGGTCCATTCAGAGTACTGAAGAGAGATTGGATAGTGGCTTTGTATCTCTAAATGTTCCTGATAATCATTGAATTATGTAACTGCTGACTTCACAGACCAAAAAATGACAAATTAATCAGAAACACACACCAAACGGCCTCAATTAATTGTCTTTAATATACTGCAAGGGTCTCGTGTCTGATTTGTATGAGATGAGACAAAGTTTCGCTCAGACTAGTTTTGGACATCAGACATCAGATCAGACGTCATTGCCCGGTCGTTCTGACCAGATTAAAGGCACACAAACATGGACTGGATCAGGGAAAGTGGTGTTGCTTCCTAGGAGGAAACAAAAGTAGGAAACATTTTCTGATTATTGTTTTTTTACTTCAGATTTCTCACCTTTCTTTTGACAAACTCCACGGTCTGGTTGGTGTGCATCAGGCTGTACGTTTTAAAGACTCGGCTGAAGAGGATTCCACTCTGAGAAACAGAAACATCAATGCAAGAGAAAAAAACCCAAAACATTTTTAATACCCAGAAATGTTATTATGCTGCAAAAAGTGTTGCTCTTGGATTTTATTTGCATTTAGCTTTTTAATCAAGCGACTAAACTGTGAAGCTGCTACTCTGCTACAGTGGGGCAAAAAAGTATTTAGTCAGCCACCGATTGTGCAAGTTCTCCCACTTAAAATGATGACAGAGGTCAGTAATTTACATCATAGGTACACTTCAACTGTGAGAGACAGAATGTGAAAAAAAAATCCATGAATTCACATGGCAGGATTTTTAAAGAATTTATTTGTAAATCAAGGTGGAAAATAAGTATTTGGTCACTTCAAACAAGGAAAATCTCTGGCTCTCACAGACCTGTAACATCTTCTTTAAGAAGCTTTTCTGTCCTCCACTCGTTACCTGTATTAATGGCCCCTGTTTGAACTCATTATCTCTATAAAAGACACCAGTCCACAGCCTCAAACAGTCAGACTCCAAACTCCACTATGGCCAAGACCAAAGAGCTTTTGAAGGACACCAGGAAAAGAATTATAGACCTGCACCAGACTGGGAAGAGTAAATCTACAATAGGCAAGCAGCTTGGTGTGAAAAAATCAACTGTGGAAGCAATTATCAGAAAATGGAAGACATACAAGGCCACTGATAATCTCAAGATCTCATCCCGTGGGGTCAAAATGATCATGAGAACGGTGAGCAAGAATCCCAGAACCACACAGGGGGACCTGGTGAATGACCTGCAGAGAGCTGGGACCACAGTAACAAAGGTCACCATCAGTAACACACTACAAGGGCAGGGAATCAAATCCTGCAGTGCCAGACGTGTTCCGCTGCTGAAGCCAGTGCATGTCCAGGCCCGTCTGAAGTTTGCCAGAGAGCACATGGATGATACAGCGGAGGATTGGGAGAATGTCATGTGGTCAGATGAAACCAAAGTAGAACTTTTTGGTATAAACTCAACTCGTCGTGTTTGGAGGAAGAAGAATACTGAGTTGCATCCCAAGAACACCATACCTACTGTGAAGCATGGGGGTGGGAACATCATGCTTTGGGGCTGTTTTTCTGCTAAGGGGACAGGACGACTGATCCGTGTTAAGGACAGAATGAATGGGGCCATGTATCGTGAGATTCTGAGCCAAAACCTCCTTCCACCAGTGAGAGCTTTGAAGATGAAACGCGGCTGGGTCTTCCAACACGACAATGATCCCAAACACACCGCCCGGGCAACAAAGGAGTGGTTCCGTAAGAAGCATTTGAAAGTCCTGGAGTGGCCTAGCCAGTCTCCAGACCTCAACCCCATAGAAAATCTGTGGAGGGAGTTGAAAGTCTGTGTTGCTTGGCGACAGCCCCAAAACATCACTGCTCTCGAGAAGATCTGCATGGAGGAATGGGCCAAAATACCAGCTACTGTGTGTGCAAACCTGGTAAAGACATTTAGTAATCGTTTGACCTCTGTTATTGCCAACAAAGGTTATGTTACAAAGTATTGAGTTGAATGTTTGTTATTGACCAAATACTTATTTTCCACCCTGATTTACAAATAAATTCTTTAAAAATCCTGCCATGTGAATTCATGGATTTTTTTTCACATTCTGTCTCTCACAGTTGAAGTGTACCTATGATGAAAATTACTGACCTCTGTCATCATTTTAAGTGGGAGAACTTGCACAATCGGTGGCTGACTAAATACTTTTTTGCCCCACTGTATGTGCAAAAAGAAAAAGCTGTCACCTGGAAGTTTCTGTAGTCTTCCTTCTCCTTTGCATCATGGTAATGTAAATTTGGCCGGTAAGCCAGAGACGGGTCTGGTCCCTGTGTTAAAAACAACAGAGCAGCAAATATTTTCAGAATTTACATGAGAAATGTTTGAAAATATTCAAAAAGCAACAGAAAACTTGAATAAAAATGCCACTCACAATGTTGACAACCCTCATGTTGACATTCGAGCTGACGTCCTCCAGAGATGAACCCCTGCCTCTGGGCACTTATATATCCTCCTGCGTCAGTCTGCATGTTTCTGACCCCTGAAGGTTTTTTTCACGTTAAGCACACATCAATGCTCGGTCACAATTTAACCAAAGCTTCCTCTAATGGAAGTGTCCCGTGTTGAACGTTGTCCTTGTTTGTTTGTTTGTGTGTGTTTGTGTGTGTGTGTGTGTCCGTTACAGGAAGAGATTTTCAGAAATCAGCACATCACACATGTGGAGTCACTGATTTTCAGCGTTTCATTTTCTTATGATTGCTTCACAAATGCACACTCCTTTCAGAATCAGAATCAGAATAAGCTTTATTGCCAGCGCTCCAGCGACCCAGAGCATAGGAACTTGACTCCGCAAACACAACCTGACCAAGGTTAAACACACACACATGTAGACAAAACAGGCACAGGCAGTCCACGAGAGCAGCCAGAACGGCGCTCATTTCATTAGATGAAAAGGGTGTTACATGAGGATAATTGAGGTAAGGTAAAAAAGGCATACCAGAGTTAGTCCCAGCAGGGAGTAGCTCTACTATACTGATCTTTTTAGATGTGGACCTTGATCTTTACTCTGAACACAGAAACAGAAAAAGTGGAGCACAAACAAGTCCAGACCTTTGTATTTGCATGTTTTCTGAGCACTGACCCGCTTACGCACACGACTGCTTCTCTCTGACGACTTTCTTCATTTCAGGTGTCCTGCTTTCCTCAGTCAGCCTTTTTCAAATGTAAACTTGACCAAAGAGTTCAAACAAGTACAAGTCGATAGACGACCTTATGTTTGCTGGTTCCCCACGGGGGGGGGGGGGGGGGGGTGTCTGGAGAGAGGTCATGGGGTCAACACAGAGAATCTTGCAGAATTTAATCCCAGCAAATAATTTGTAATTAGAAATTAAGTTCAAAAGCGATTTTTGGACAAGATAACTAGTGAACAGAAAACATCCCAACATTTGACTGCGCTGAACTTTTCTTTGAGCCAGAGGGGCGGAGGCTCGGCACAACTCTGGTATCTGATTGGACAGATGAGAGCCTCGTGAGATCTGAATGTTTTTAAGTGGGTTTGTTTTTCACCAACAAGTTTAACAAGTCATGTGGAGGCTGTGTGAAATCTTAAATAAAAATATACCTTTAGAGTCTAAAGTTTAGACTCTTGAACATCACAAAAATAAGGACCCAACACCAGGTTTTCTAACAGGCTTTTAAAGGATTTCCATCAATTGTTTGACAATATTTATTTTATAGGAGATTTTATTTGTAAAGATCAACAAAGGTGACATGTAGATATTAAAAATAGTGTTTTGTGCAAAAAAAAAACTCACAGTACTCTGGGACTTCATGAATTTGTAAACTATCAACTTGGTAATGGAATCACTTGACATAGTGTGTGTGTGTGTGTGTGTGTGTGTGTGTGTGTGTGTGTGTGTGTGTGTGTGTGTGTGTGTGTGTGTGTGTGTGTGTGTGTGTTTGTGTGTGTGTGGTGGGGGTGCATACGTGTGTGTGTGAGGATGAATTATTTATCCTTCCTTAAAATAAAAACTGAACTTTACTGATAATTCTGCAGCAGTTTGTCCTGATCACAAATGACAAAATCTCTAGTTGAAAGAGGACATATTATGCAAAACGTACGTTCCTGTACTTTTTTGCTGCCGCGTGAGTTTCTATGCCTCCACAAACACTTGAAGCTTGAAAAATCCGACCATCTGCCGTCAGAGTTTGATTTTAGCAATTATGTGTGCTAAACAAGCTGTTTTAAAAAGTCCCTGTTTGTGATGTCATAGATGAGGAAATTAAAACAGAACTAAGCAAGAGAGAGATGCTGCTGGAGGAGCTGCAATTCTTTAAGCCCCTCCTGGATATCAGAGCTTCTCAGCTTATAGCAGCCTGAGCAGGGGGATGGGTGTGTGTGGCCAACTACAGCATGCTTTCTTAAAGTAACAGGGCCCTGAAAAGGCTCATTCTGGAAGGCACTGAAACTGTCAACAATAAAACTGCTGAAATTGCTTCATGTGAGAGGGATTTAGTGCTAAGAACTTAATAAACATGTTTTATTATAACTTTAGAAAAAAATTGTCATGATATGTTCCTTTTGAGAAACTTGCAGTTATGTGGTCATGGTGACTCATCCAAGTTTCTCCCACTTTCACAATGATGACACACATGACACACACATTCAGACAGAAGCATCTGAACAGTACCCCTCGCACAAACAGCGGGAATCAGAAATAACGGCTTTTCTTTAACAACAACCCGAGAAGCTGTTGCTGTGATTGTTTCCAGAGCTGAATAGATGTACGTTTCTGGGCTCGCAGCAGCCCAGTTTCATTGTGTTACCAATAACCCGGAGAGGAACAAATCGTAAAGGTCACATTCAGACTCAACGTAAAATCTATTTTATTACACAGCTTTGCTATGAATGCAACAATTGTTTGGCAAAAGCACATTTAGCCAGGAAGAAGCACAGATTTGATATTGTGGGGTTTTCACAGCAAAAAGCTTTAATTCACAAAACAACATGTTTAAAATTCAAGTCATTCTGAAAGTGAGGACAAATAAAGTGCTTTTATGCATTCCTATGAACAAGAGCTACAGAAACTAGACAAAAAATATGAGCTAAACGAAAAACAAATATTTGATAGTCAACATTCACTTTGTAGAAAGAAGTTACAGTAAAAGGAACTGGGTTAGCATTTGTTTCTGCTGTGGGCTTCTGGGTAAGGATTTGTCTGGGTTCGAATGCCTAATCTTGGTTTCTGTAGGTCTTAAAGCTGCTTGTTTTTGCAGGGGGAGATGAATGCACGTTTAAATAGATTATCACAGAGCTCAGACCAGTTCAATCAGCAGGATGAACAGCAGACGTGAGACGGGCCAGCCAGTCTGAGACAGGCTGGTCTGTTTTACAGTTTTATTCATTTAAAACCTAAATGTTTGTAATGCAAAATGATAAAGTGCAGTAAACTATTGTTAGTGATCTCAATAAGGTCACGACCCTCGCGCCTTGAAAGCAGAGGGGTCAGGGGAGGTATTGTTTATAACTTTTACACAGAAAACCACGTGAAAACCATCAAAATGTCTTCTTAAGAAGCTTCAAGTTCATCATATTAACTACAAACTTCTGGTTTAATGTTATCAAATCTAATCTGTGAGCAGATATTTGAATAGTTTCTCCTCCATAAAAAAACAACCTTCTTACAAGCTGAAAAGCAGTTGAAGTCAGAGCTTTTTATGTGTTTCTTGTTTTGAGCGTTGCCACATTCAAATATTCCAGACATTTGTTGGTAAACGGAGTCTCTGTCAGAATTATAGTCGCAAATGTTAAAAGAAAAGTCAGTTTCAGGACTAACATTTGTGACTCCATATCACAGACCTTCAGAGGAGCAGGGCGATCTCTGAGAGTGAAGTTCTCGTTAGAAGCTTCCTGCTGGATTTAAGGTGTGATCTCAGCCGTAGCTGTGAGGACTGCCTGGGTTAATGGGGGAGGAGTCCTCCCTCCCGCTCTGTCCAATCAGCTGATAGAGCCGATGGCTGAGATTCTGGACCTGACAGGTGCCTAGAACGCAGCCTACCCTCATCAGTTGGCCCTGGCCCCTCATACCGCTGCCGTTGGCGTGGCGACGACCCCGTGACCCACGCTGTGGCAGCAGATTGTGATTTCCATAAAGCAATGAGCCAAGGAGCTCTGGTGAGGTATCCTTGTTCAGTGAGGTTCTCCAGAAGATATTCTGGACCTTTTCTGGGATTTGATTCCCGTCAGAGAGATCAGACGGTGTCGGTGAGACTTCGGGGTGGGATGGCTTTGGGAATTCAGAGATTTGGCTTGAACTCAACCTGTAAAACAAAATTAAAAAGAAATGAGGGAGGAACTGATACAGCACAACAAAAAACACTGGTTTACTGGTCATGCTGGGCAGTATGGGTCAATGAGGCGAAAGTGGTTTAGTAATTTTTAGTAATAGAACATGAGAAAAGGTGGACTGAAAAGTAAAGAGGATAAAAGAAGGACAGTTACACCAGTGGTTCCCAAACTTTTAGAGCGATTGATTATCAAACGATGCAATCCCAAATATTTCTGATCAGATGTAATAAACATGCTTAAAAAGCTCAATAATTTAGGGCATAAACAAAAATACTTCAGCTCATATTTACTCGTGTTAATTTATGATCATTTGTCATAAATTTATTTTGATTTCTGGAAATCATCTTAATGATCTCAAAACTCCTTTTGTAGCTCTTGATGTGACTTATTTAGAAGCTCAGTTTAAATCTTTCTTAAAGACCAAGTTCACTGTTTTTCAACACATTTGCAGTGGTCTCTAGTATAAATGAGTGCCTTGTGAGACGATCTCCGTGGCAAAAAACAGGAACTAGAAATTAGGCAAAGGAGAGGTGAGCAGGATTTGGAGTTTTATTTCCTTATATTTGGACATCTCACCTCTGATTGGCTAACAGCAATGTGACTTTACCACTGCCTCCCATTGCTCTGCAACGTTGATGTTTTATCTCCACAAATAACACAAGCCTGAAGGAGTTTTGCCACGCTGTGGAGTTGCTAATGCTTAGAGTTAGCTTCTACTGGCCGAGATGCACTCTTCTCTCTCATGGATGCTAATTCAACACTGCCTTCCCGATCACAAGCCAAGATGAATGGTAACTTGACACTATGGCGTACAAATGTCACTGGCTTTACTAATCTGAGCGTTTAATCATGCATCAGCGGTTAATACAAGAAATGAGGATAGAAGACGATTTTCACAAAAAGCCTGCATGACAGAGTGACCTATCATGAAAAATGCAAGTAAAAACAGTTTCTCAGTGAATTTAGCCTTTAAAAAACAATGGCCACTGCATCAGGCAGTGACTCTGATGAGGACGAAGTCCAGTCACATTATTCTGGTCAGTTGTTTTAATTATGTTAAATTCTTTGTCGCAAACTCCATAGAATATCTGGTAACACTTTACAATAAGGGCCCCTTTACTAACATTACTTTATGCTTTATTACGTATGAATAAACTATTAAATAAAGTACTAACAACTGCTTAATATAGGGAGCCTAAATCACGCCCATCTACTTCCAGACCATGGGTCCCCAGACGAATGAAAAACGAATGCAAGTCAATGGGACTAAAAACACTATTTTCTAATTCCGCTTGGTTTGTGCCATGGATTTCACATATGATGTCCGTGAATTTTAAAGCCACATTTTGATACCATGAACAGGCTTATTTTCAAACGGGGGAAATGCTATTTTAGGTTTTGTGTGAAAATAAGTCCTGGACTACGAAAGTGACATCATAAACCAGACACGGAGAAAACTGAGGGGAAAGGGCTGTAAGTTCAGCAAACTTCCCGCAGGAGGAAAGAACCACCATAAATCTGGTCATTTGGTAAGTAGCAGCTACGCTAGGGGAAAGAGATTATGTGGTGACGTCACATATGCGGCGGGCCGATTTCTAGTTTGTAGCCATGCTAATTATGAACTTTTACAAGCTGATAAATCTCAAAGTACATGACTGGCATGGTCGAAAACACCCATCATTACTTTTCATTTAAGTTGCAGTACAACATATGTGCGATCCAGGGCGTAAGGCAAAGCGGATTAGTAAACAGCTTTTAGCCCCGTTGACTTGAATTCATTTTTTTGTTCTTCCAGGGACCCATGGTGCGGAAGTGACTTAGGCTCCCTATTATTGTTAATATTATATAATGCATCATTAAGCAGAGCCCCCACCCCCTAGCCTGGCAAGCCAGACTAAATAAATGTATTATTTAGTCTGGCAACGCTCCATTGACGCCTCTCGGTTGTGGGGCGGGTTCTACCGTTCTCTTTCAAATGATCTCCACATTCCACTGGACAATGAATGTGACATACTCTTGTTTCACTCTGTTGCATCATCCCACCCACCAGGCATATAGAGTGCCCTGATTGGCCCACAAAGCGGATAAAGCTCTGTGATTTGTTCACTAAGCAGATAGAGCATTATGATTGGCCCACCATTATGGACCAGTCACAGCCCTTTATGTGTTTGCAACCCCTCTAGAGAGTTGTGATTGGCTAGCCAGAGTCCTGGTAGGAGCTGCGGAGGTTCCAATGGAGCATTCCTAGACCAAACTTTGCAAAGCAAGAATTTGGGCTAGATCACTAGGCTAAACATCCCCAGCTCTTTGTCCTAACCGTAAATGGGAACCGTATATTATGTCGATGATGGGAACTAGGCAGTTTTGGCTTGCTTTTAGCACACCCTAGTGTTCATTTGTAGAACTGAAAGCAAAACTAATTTCTTCACTGTGCGTTCGTCTTTCAAACACCCTAATCTAACAGCTGAAATGTCAACTGTTACGTCCCAGGCTGTCTAGGGAGCCTGGGGTAACAATGAGGACGCATGTTCTCGTGGTAAACGTAACAAAACAACATTTATTTACATAAATATAAACTCAAAACACAGATTAACAAGACACATCAGCAGCAACGCAAAACGAGTAACAACTAAACTCTCATATTAACCAAATTAATACAAAAACACCACGAAAGACCATCACGATTTCCCTTTTACTGAGTGATGTCTTAATAAAAGCAAGCGAAGGGGTAAAGTATCCTTTACCCCTAAAAGGCGAACGGTTAAACACAGAGAGTTAAGCTCTCAAAGTTGTTACATAAAACTTAAAACCAAAAGCTGCTGAGGAGACAACAGACCAGAGAGAACCTCCCTGGCCTGCCGCTCCCTGAACTGAGGGCTGGCTGACTTTTATGCTGCTGGTCATCAGGATCAGCTGGGAGGATCTAACCGGGAGGCAATCTAGTGAGATTGGAGCCAGGTGCTGCATCTCCTCTCTCACACACACACAGGGAAAAACACAAATGGCTCTGAGCCATAACACTTCCCCTCTAAAAAGGATAATTAAGGTTTACACTTAATTATACTATATCACAATATCCCCCCCTACATACGGTGCCAGCCCACGCAACCCCTGGTTCTGAAATTCCCTTGGTGGAACAACAGCGGGAAGGTGACAAATCGGCGCTGGGTTGATGGTGCGGACTCGACCATGCCAAAAGTCCCACATCCACTGATCACGCAGGGTCCAGCCGAACTCTCGATGGTGATTCACTGTCTGCTCGCTCAGTTCCCCCAGACAGGATTCCATCAAAGTCTTTAACACAAAGAATAAGTCCACAGTGAGAAGATAACAATTCTGACCTCCTTGTTCCAGAGTTGTTAGGCAGGCTTCCACAGCAGGAGTGTTCCATCTGTGAAAGCGGGGGGGGGGGAAGACAACGGAGCGACCACCTGGCCACTGGAGTAGCGTCCCAGTCAGACGTGCCATACCAAGTGGGTTCCTCTCACCCACTGAAGAGCGATTCCTCTGATGATCCATCCTTTAGATCCATCGTCCAGGGCACAACTGAAGAGTCACCTCCCCCCTTGCACACCATGCACCACCAAGGTGTTCAGAACAGAGCTGCTGTGAACTATTCCAAAAGCCAAATGTAAGTAATAACAGTAAGCCCGAGAACATGCGTCCAAGTAAGGTTTGGGATCAAAAATCCCGGACGAGCCCCCATTTATGTTACACCCCTCTATGGGCTCAGCTAGGAAGGTGAGGGGAATAAACATAAGATGGACCAGTCTAACAAAAAGTGACCCTCGTTGGGGAGAAAAAGGCTTGTCCAAGCAAGACCAAACTCAAAGTTTCCTTTCAAGGATTTTATTACAAAAAGAAAGTACCAAAAGAAGGGCCAAAAACCCTTACCAAACTGAGTTTAAACGAATAACTAAAAATGTCCAGAGGACCAACCACTCTTAAAATTAATCTCCTTTATTTAAAAAGGGAATGAAACAGCAAAAGGGGAAAATCCCACCCTTAAATTAACCAAGGTTTGTCTAACAGACAAAACCAAATGCTGAATTAACTTAGGTTACCCAAACAACAAAAATAGCTCAGGAAACTGAGACTTCAAAAGGGGAATAATCCCCACCTGGTAATTTAAACCACAAGATGGTCTAGCAGACACACCAAAACCAAAATTACCGCTTAAATGCAACTATCCCAAAACACAAAAGGTTCTAAAGCTGCTTCTTTACAAAAAGCCAACAACAACCTGTTAACTGCCAACGGGGAGAGAAATGTTTGGAGTTGCAGAGGCAACGTTTGTTCTCTCCCCGTTGGCAGTTAACAGGTTGTTGTTGGCTTTTTGTAAAGAAGCAGCTTTAGAACCTTTTGTGTTTTGGGATAGTTGCATTTAAGCGGTAATTTTGGTTTTGGTGTGTCTGCTAGACCATCTTGTGGTTTAAATTACCAGGTGGGGATTATTCCCCTTTTGAAGTCTCAGTTTCCTGAGCTATTTTTGTTGTTTGGGTAACCTAAGTTAATTCAGCATTTGGTTTTGTCTGTTAGACAAACCTTGGTTAATTTAAGGGTGGGATTTTCCCCTTTTGCTGTTTCATTCCCTTTTTAAATAAAGGAGATTAATTTTAAGAGTGGTTGGTCCTCTGGACATTTTTAGTTATTCGTTTAAACTCAGTTTGGTAAGGGTTTTTGGCCCTTCTTTTGGTACTTTCTTTTTGTAATAAAATCCTTGAAAGGAAACTTTGAGTTTGGTCTTGCTTGGACAAGCCTTTTTCTCCCCAACGAGGGTCACTTTTTGTTAGACTGGTCCATCTTATGTTTATTCCCCTCACCTTCCTAGCTGAGCCCATAGAGGGGTGTAAGTGTCTACAGGAGCAATTAATCACTAAATTAAACAAATCAGCTGTGTTCAGGATCTAAACCATGCAGGAAACATGCTGGAAGCAGACTGCAGCGCCAGGTAAGTCAGCTCAATTGTTTT